GGAAGTATCACATTAAGTGCATGTATTAGCATCTGAGCACTAAGCACATCCAGTTGAACAAGGAGCACAAGTCATATTTTGATTATTTTAGAAATAACCTGTAGGGCAAGAAGAGACGCAGGTATTTTAAGATGTAAGAAAAAGACCATTTATACATGATGTACAATATTTTGGGTCAGAGCTACATTAAGCACATGGACTAGTGCATTATGAAATAGCAGTACACATTTAACCAGATAATTAAAATCCAGTTTTACACTAACTACAAGTTGTAGAACTAGTACATATCTAACATCCATTCGAACATGATAAACAACTTTTTGAAGGTTCATCAGGGTAAGTTCCAGATGGGCAGGAGGTTACGCAAGTACCAGAATATAAGTAAGTTAAAAATTAACAAGCTTTACATTAATTGTTACTTGGACCTGAACATTAAGAACAAGAAAAGTCACATTATTAACATAAGCCACTGTTGTTATCAGGATAAGTACCTATGGGGCAGGTAGATCTGCAAACCTAAAATTTATTTGAAATTAAAGGAATTAATTTTTTGAATATTATTATTGCTAAAAGTCATAGATCAAAAGTAAAACCAAAAAAATAAAACTAAAATTATCTAAATTTTTAATAGTAATATTTAATTACATTTGAAAAATTATTAAATCTAAATAAATTAAAAATTTTTTACTTTATCTAAATTAGCGTAAGTATTACTAGGACATTAGATCAAGCAATTTCCACTCTAATCAATAAACTAAGAGCATTTTTAGCTGCAATCTACGCCTCCATAACCAGGATTACATAAACATTATCCTTTTATGCAAATACCATTATAACTGCAAAAGTTAACACATTATTAGTCATCGCATAATCTTGAAATATTTGATGGGCATGTTACTTAACCTAAGGTATTTCCGTTATAGACCACATTCTTTTGATTGCCTTAGTCACTAGTTCCGCAAACTATTTTTGTATTTGGTATTTGTGAGAAAGTAATAGTAACTTATGTTTTATCAGGTGTGCATTAATAAAAATGGCACCTAAAATCTTCATTTTAGTAATGGTATACAGCAGATGGGCTGTAAACATTTGAAGTGAAACATTTAGAATTGTAAGAAAAATCATTTTAAGTATCTGTGTTAAATGAAGGAGGATTAGTCTAATAGCTTTAATTAGCTATATCACTGCATAGACGATTGCTATAGACCTCAATAACACTACAACTATCACCAAAAGGATCAGAAATTGAACCTATTCCTTATCCATCTCCCCAAAACGAGCAAGATTTTTGATTTGCCGTAGCAAATTCTTCATATTGAGTAGAGCTTTTGCACGCATTTTGAAAGAAATCACAACCTTTATTTCTTCCCCAATAGATAGGGTCAGTTAAATTTTCATTAACATCATCCCAATATCCAGTATCTTTAAGAAGAGCTACAGTGAAGAAAGTCAAATTTAAACCTTCTAGAAGAGCAGATGCTGTCATTACTTCACTTCTGATGATTGTTCTTTCCCAATGTGAATTTATCGAGCCTGATCCTCCCTAAATAAATCAAATAAATGAAAAATTAATTAATATTAAGTAGATAATTAAATATTTTTAAGGATAGTGAATTATATTACTTGATTCTCCAACTGCATTCCTTGTAAGCTTGGACATCCATAGTATTTTTTTGCTGTAGCTAAAACGTTAGGAGATCCTAGTATATTAGTTTGTATCCCTCTAAGAGTTTGAGTACTAATTAATTTATTAGCTCCTGCTTACCCTAATAATTAATTAGATGCTTTATCATACCAGTTTTACATTGCTCCATAAGAAAAACCAAGAACGTGAATAACTTCATGCAAAGTTACCATAACATCATTTTAGTATTACTCCAAATTAGTACCAGTATTCTTCATATTAGCTAAGTTAAATAAGACTCTTCCGAAATTTGGTCTAAAATATGTAGCTGTTTACTAAAGATTGCAAAATCCTGCATTTGCTAAATACCCAGCAGTTGGATCATTATTAAAAATGAAATATAAATGTAGATCTGAATTAGCTATACCATTTGTTTTATCACTTTATGAAGGAGTTACTGTTATACAAGTTCCATCGTTGGTTTATTAGGTATTAAAAATATTATTACTTGTATTAGGTTAAACTTTGATTAAATTAGAAACAAAGTTAACAACAGTAGTAGAGACAGAAATCAAATAGTTTATTTGAGCTGTAGAAATAGCTGGTCCTCCTTGTTATGGAGATAATCTGGAAAAATCAGTTGTTATTCTAATTGGTTGAATAGTCTAGGCGCCTAAATTTCTTTTTAATTCATCTTCTTCTGAATGGTTGATCTGGTTTTATTTAAAGTATTCATGAAGCCTTTCTTACGTGTTTCTGATCATTTCATCAGAATCATGAGCGCAAGTATGACCATATTCAGAGTGTGCACTCACTATGAAGTTATTTAGATAAAATAAGGCAACAAAAAGTAGATTGATAAAAGTTAAGTTCTTCTAACTTATCATCATTAAATTAATTCTTTTTTTAGTTTCTTATTTACTATTTTAGATTATTTATTTGAAAAACAAAATATTATAAGTATTGATGACTCACCTTTTAATAACTATTAGATTAATAAACCACCAGTTTAATTAAACTCAAGAGTATTTTTAATTAAGTGATAATAATTAGGTTATTTATTTCATTTTGTTTGATAAATCTAAATTCATTAATTTTTACAAAATAAATAATTATTCACAAACATTCTGGCAAATATTTGATTAACCACAAATTATATTTTAAGAGTGTAACTTTTTTATTAGAGAAAAAAGGTAATTCTTATTTAAAATATGTTATTAGATACACTCCAGCCCATTTAATAATAGAAATATCAAATATTTCAATAATTTAAATCATTAGTCTTTATATATAAATTCAAAAGTAGGATTTTTATAAACAAAAAAATTAAATTAATTTACATTCACATTATTTTATTATTTTAAAAAATAAATGGTGAATAATTAACTTTTATATAATTGATTTCTTTCTTTCTTAAAATTGTATCTTTTAAAAGAAAAAAGTTTAACTCAAAAGCAATTTAATCTTCTCAGTTTTTTCATTTTGTGGCTGTTAGAATCCCACAGAATTTATTTTATTAAAATCCAAATATTTTATGATATTTGATTAGCTGGATAAATAGAGAGGCTAATCTCAAAACTTAATTATACAGTTTACAGTGTTGTTTATGGTATTAACTTTAATATAAATTAACTATCTAAATATTTATATTTACTTACACTATTTAAGTAAGAATACATAATTTGAAAAATAACATAATCTAAAATATTTTAAACTTTTATAAGATTAGTTTTGCTTATTTCTTTCCATCTTTAATTGCAGAAGGATTAAATAAAAATATAGCATCCTATTTATTAATTAATCTGATATGTAATTATTGAAAGCAGACTTTTTTCTAGATTTTAAGTGTTTTTCATTAATAATTGTAAGCTAATTTTTTTAATAGATAAAGAATAAAAGGGTAGTTTCAAGTAGGTGTAAGCACATCTTGATATTTTATTCAAAGATAAGAGTGAAAAAATATTCCTGTTACCTTTTTCTTACTTGTTTTTTCGCTTTTTTTTAACAAAAAGTAGATTTTTTTCATTAATTTTTAAAAAATCTAAAATTCTTCTTTACTCAAATACGGAAATACAAATGCAGCCAGAAAATTAGATGCATGGTTCAATTCATATATTTGTAACTCACAATTTAGGTAATTTAAGACACTTGAAAAATTAATTTATGATATTATAAAGTGGAAAATTGACAATCCATCCAATTCATATTGAGGGGGGATAAATAGATTTTTATATTAAATTGAAGCCGATCATTTAACTTTATTACAATCTGATGGAATTTAGTAACATTTTAATATTATAATCATTAATCCCCCCTATTTATCCTTTAATTGATATTTTTAACTTTAATAAAGTTAAGTAATAATTAATCATAAATTATAAAGGAACTAATTTTATTAATTTATTTTGCTCTCTTAAAATAATTTTATATTTTTGATAAAATTACCCAAAAGATTGTTTGTTAAAAGCAACTTACTCTAGTCTTACTTTTTAAGAATAGATACCATAAATATCTTTAGAAAGAAGTATATGAATTTGACTAAATATTAGTATAAAAAATAAAAATAGAATAAACTCAATCATTTTAATAGTTTTCACTTATTTAGTCAATTAATTTAAATGAAAGTAGATAATATTTTAAAGATCTAAATCATATATAAATTATTTTTAAGCATAATATGATAATTATTAACTTAAACAATGTTAAAAAATAACTATAAACCATTTTTTGATTATAAAATTCTTTGAAATAAAAATAAATTCTCATCATATTCTCTTACGCTTTGAACATTAATAAATTGTCACCAAGATCTAAATTACTGGATTTAGTTATTAAAATTAAAAAAATATACTTTAAGAATAGATTATTAAATAATTAAATTATTTTTACATTTTTTTAGGAATGTAGGTAGTTAAAAATGATTTTGATCAAAATTTCTGAATATTCATAAAATCAGAATTTTAACAAGTAATGTTACTTTGAATTTGGTGTATATTTATTTAGGAAAATGAGAATTTGATGTAATTAATTTATATTCAAAATTTGTTAATTGCTTTTTAATGGTTATAAATTTTTTGTTAAAAAATTAATTAAAAATTGAAAAAAATTTAAATAATGATTTTATTTTTTATTTTTATACTGAAGAATTCATTTATTTATTAATAAAATATTTTTATTTCCAAAAAAAAAGCATATTTTGTTTCATCAGAATAAATAGATATTCAAAAATGTGTTCATATTTATAGATTTTCAAATACATTTTAAAACTAATAAATACATTTATAAAATTTGCTATAAATTAAGTAGAAAAGAAATTTTTTAGTGATTTTGTTAAAAATAAATTATTTTTTTTATTTATTTATTTTTTTTCTAAGATTCAAAATTAATTAAATTGAGTTGTAATATTATATTTTTTAACATGACTTCCGTTAACTTTATTAAAATTATTATGAGCTGTAGATCCAACAACTATTAATCTATAGCTTTTAGAAAAAAACTACATGCTTATTTAAAGGTCTACTTAAATAGTTAGTTGCTACCCTTTTTTCATTTATATAATAAAATGTTCTATTAAACCACTATTGCTTGCTGAATCTATTAAATTAGATTAAACATCTAAGAGGCTTAACTTAAAGGAGTCTAGAGATTTTTCTGGGATTAAAATAATAGTTACGAATTAATCAGAATTCGATGTAAATGTAAATTAATCCTTCTATGATCCAAACATTCCAAAAGATCCTTAAATCATAAAACTAGTATCTAAGACATTAAAATTAGCTTTTGCAAAGGAAGATTAATAAACCTCAAATAATTCATACTTTCTTGATGATTAATCATCATATTTAACAACTATTTCTTTTTGAATTTATCCTTAGTAATTTATATATTAGCCATCTCTATCTGCCTTAAATCCATGTGCGCCTACAGGTCCTAGTGGACCAAGTAGACCTAATACTCCAAGAGGACCTAATGGACCAAGAGAAGCAAATAAACCTAAACCGGTTAGTTACTGGAAGAAACCATTACTGTCAAAAGAATAGTTTTCACCATTGTACAAGTTATTGTTTAATGGACCCTTATGTCCAAGAGGTCCATTTTAAGATAAAGGTCCATCTTATGCAGTTAGTTCACTTGAAAAACTAGACCATTCAATCCCAGATATAAGCTGAGAAGGGTTCCATGTATTCGAACCTACAGGCCCAAGAGTTCCAAGAGGTCCTTTTAATTTAAAATATATGATAAGCCATTTTCAACATAAAATAATAATAAATTATTACCGAAAGGGCCTAGTGGGCCATTATATCCTAGTGGACCTCCAGAAGTAATTAAAGGTAAATAAACATTAGACAATTAAGTGTTAAGACTAGAAAAAGATACACTACTAATCAAGCTGGAGGAAGTATATAATAGTTCATAGGTGTTCTTTTTATTTTGGCGGAGATTTTAACTTAAACAAATTGTTATTAGCTAAGATATTAAAATGAGAATAATAGACTTCATTAATTTATAAAATTTTAAGATTATTGTTTTAAAATAATTAATTATTTAAAAATATTAGTTAGCATAATATAAATATATAAAAAAGGAATAGACTACTTGTTAATTAGTATTATCAATCAAATCTAAATAAAAAATAAAGATTTTAACAGTTTTTGATGTGATATTAATTTGCATATATTTGGTATATGATTAAATCTTAGATCATATATTTGTTTAATTAAATAAATACTTGCAAATATTATAGTGAACACTTTTATTTAATATCAATTATTAATTCAAATCTGATAAATTTATTATCATAATAAATTTATTTCAAACGCATTATTGTTGATACTCATTTTCTTATTCTTTTACATCCAGAATAATTTTATTAATTTAATTATTTACCTATCATTCAAAATAGATCTAATTTATTAAAGCATGTTTTTTAAAAGATAATTAATTATTTCTATTTTTAATATCTTCCTATTATTTAAATTACAAAATTCTTTTTAATCCTAATTTATATAAAATAAATTAGATTTAAACTATTTTTTGAAGAAAAAAATATATCCATCACATTGTTTTTATAAATTTTTAAATAAAAAATATTATCTCAACTTAAAAAACAAAATAAAGAAAAGGATAATTTAAACAAATTTAAATAATATTTAAATACTAGAAGTTTTTATTAATGATAAGTAATGTTTAATATAGATTACTCTATATCAAAAAAAAAAATTTTGTTTCACTTAAATGTTTCTATATTTGATTTTATATTGAATCTTATTTTTTAAAAGAAAAAATTGTATATGTGCAAGTAAATTTCTTACAAATTTTGAATTAAATCCAATTAACATAAGACTAGATAATTAGTTCTTAATTTACATAATTTTAAAAGACTTATGAATTTGCAGTCTATTAAGTTTTTACATACTTTAAATACTACTAAAAAATTTATTAAATGGTGTTTTAAAATGCTTATAAAATTTTGTTTAATTATTTTATTTTCTCACTTTAATTTAAAGTTCAACTATAAAGTTACCAATCATAATATAATCAGTAGTTGAAACCCCCTTAGTTAAAATGTATATTTCATTTTATGGCAATTAAATTCATTGTTAAAGTTAAGATTATTTGAAAGTAAAAGCACTAAATTTTTTTTTTATTGTTATATATTAGTTTTGTTTACATTTTTATTTTTCAGTATAAAAATTATTATTGAAGATTATATTATATTTATATAGGCTTATTATACTAGCCATAAAGTATATATATAAATAGATAAAGTACAAAGCTAGTTATATAAAGATTTGATGGTATTTTATGAATTTTTTCAATTATAGTTAATTACATGATAAACCTAAATTTAATTATATAAATATTATTTAAATCATGCAGATCTAAGGTAATTGACCTTGATGCTTTTTCCGAATTTACTAGATTAGGCACCTTAGTAATATTGATATTAGTGATTTCCAGAAACGTTGTTCATATTGAGGTAAGAAGTAGATCCAGTTACAATAAGTCTATATGTCTTGGAAAGAATTTGAGAACTTGAAGAGAGCTTGATGGAAGCAGTGAGCTTTTAACCTTTCTTAGCTTTTATGGTAATGGTTTCAACTAATGCAAAGTTATCAGAAGTAGCAATAAGCTTGCCATTTTAGTCATAAAGGCCAAGAGAGAAGTCATCAAGAGATTTTTCAGGAATAACTACAATTGTAACTATTTGATCTTCGTTAGAAATAAATGTATATTTTTCTAATTTACTAGAATCAAAATCATCAACTGTGCCAAGTATCATAAAGCTGGTATCAAGAACTTTAGGGTTTTTCTTAGCAAATTCGGAGGTATAAGCTTCAAAAAGGCTGTAAGTTCTTTTAGTTTAGCCATCATAATCGACTGTGATAGTTCTTTAAACTTGACCATGACTATCAACAAATTGACCATCACTAGTAGCTTAGAAACCGTGACCACCAATAGGACCGAGGGGACCTAAGGGACCAAGTGCTCCAAGAGGTCCGATGGGACCAAGAGAAGAGAAGATACCAAGAGCTCTTAAGTGCTAAGCAAAGCTATTATTTTCAAAGAGACTCTTGCCTGGTTCAATTTTTCCAGTATAAATATCAGCACTCAAAGGACCCTTATGACCGAGAGGACCATCCTTTGAAAGAGGACCACCTTTAATTGTAATAAATTAAGAATATTTGCTCCAGTCAATGCCACTAACCATTTGGGAAACATTCCAGCTATTATCACCAATTGGACCAAGTAATCCAAGAGGACCTATAATGTTATAGATATAAATTAATATTTATTAGAATAAATTTAAAGTCTTTGAAAAGTAAAATTCATTAAGATATTATATAAAAGACTTGATCAAATATTTGAAAAAATATAATTCATCAAGTTTTTTATTAAGATGTTTATAGTAGATTTTAAGTTAAATATTTGATATTATTTAACAAAAATAATATTTTAATAATATTCAATTTCATTTTTAAATAAAAATAAAATTTAAAATATTTACCAAAAGGACCAAGAGGACCCATGTATCCAAGAGGACCACCTTCTTAGGTGTAGGCTTAGTATGAAGAATCAAGTGAGGGAGAAAGAGTGGAGAAATTTACAGAATTAATTGAGTTTGTAGACATGTAGACAAGGTCTGAAGGACTAGAGTAGTTAGAAGTCCAAGGATTGGAGTAGACACCAGCAAGGCAAACCAAAAGAATAACAATAGAAGTACGCATTGTAATAATATTTATCTTTGTTGTAAAATTGTGTATTAGAACTGTATTTAAAGTTTTTTGATAATATTAATTATGAATTAGGAGGCTTTTTAAATATTTAGTATGGGCACATAGAAAACAAATCTATGCATATGAGTGATATTAAGATAGAGATAAATTATTATAAATTGGATCTGTCCATTATAGGTTGTTAGTAGTTTATCAGAAGTGTCAATAACCTTAGTGATTTAATTAAATTTCTAATAGGACTTATAAATACTGCATAAGATGTTTATTATCAAAAATAATTAATGATTTTTATCAAATGGTTCGTAAGAATAAAATAATCTAAAATTATTAATGTGAAATATTATATTAATTATTTATTTGTGATACTAAATCATAAGATAACAAGTTTTTTGATGGATGATTGTTCTATTAGATTTAATTTATTTTTATTTCATACTAAAAATATTGTTGCATCCAAATTTAATAATACGCAATTTTGATCTAACTAGAAACGAAAGCAAATATTTTTATTAAATATTGACACCAAAAAGTAAGAGTAAGGTTTTAAATTGATAACTAAATATTGGTTCAACTTTTTTTAGCTTTCTAATCTATTGATAAATTTGCTCATATAGAGCCATTTCCCAGTTTAATTTGTTAAAATGAAAAAATTTATAGGGAAAAATGTTACTGATAACTTTATTTTATTTTATTTTCTTTAAACTAAGAATTTTATTCCTAAATATCATACATAAAGCATGTATTTTAAATATTTTCATAATCCTTTATAACTCATAAAGTAAACCTATTTTTGTTGTTTAATAAAATTTCAGACATCAGATTATTGCATATTATTAATTATAGTATAGATTTGATTAAATTATGTCTTATTTGCTTATTTACTTAACTTAAAATCTCTCAAAGATCTAAATTTAATTCATCTATTTCTAAATTGATAAGTCAGATTTTTTGCGTAATTAATTGATTAATTTTATCTTTTATTTTTCAATAAAATTTAATCTTTATTGATAGTAAGTGCAATTCAAAAGGTATCTCACATCTCAATTTTTTTATTTATTTCTATATTAATTTGATTTCAATAAAAGTTTTTATTTTATTTAATTGAAGAGATTTCCATTAATTTAATTATATACAAAAAGTATCTTAGTAAATTCAACAAAACAATTTGTAATCTGAAATCGTAATTTACATCTTAATAATAAAAAGCTAAATTTAAAATTTATATGATTTAATTTTAATCTTATAAAAATATATTTATTTAAAAATTGTAAAAGAAAATATTTAATTACAGTTAAATATGTATCCTAACATAAAACAAAAGGGCTTGATTAAAATTAAAAGGAACCAATAATTTTTTTGATACTAAGGATAAAGTTATTGAAGAGAATAAAATTTTTTTTCTCTTAATATAGAATTTTTAAGGTATATATAATTTTTCTGTAATAATTTTCAATAAAAATTTCAATTACCATCATTAGAGTTCCTTGGAGTTTGCAGAATGGTAATGTTAATGAAAACATATGAAGATCTAAGGTAATAATTATTTAAATTTAAATATCATATTAAAAGTTTAAATATTTTTAATTTAATTTAAATAAATTAAGTAAATTTTAAATAATGAAATAGAATTAATAAAAATTTTTTTACTTTTAAAAACATAAAAGTATAATCAATTATTTAATTCTTAAAAAATAATAATAATTAAATTTGTTGTTTTAGAAATTAAATTTTGATTGGATTTTAATGTTTATCTAAAAAATAAGTGTATTGTTTGATTATAAAATTTATTCACTTCTTCTTATAAAATAAACATTTTTTAGTTTATTAAATTTCTTTTGACTTAAGTTTGCAAATAAAATAATTGTAAAGAATTATTTGGATAATTTAGATAATTATTTTATATTTTTAAAAATTTAGTAGATAATAAAATGAGAATTTGAAAATAAATCCATATTGGTAAAAAATTTGTTTGATTAATACTAATACGAAAAATTCAATTTTTTCTTGATAATATTTGTATTTTATTTAATTTATATTTTTAAAAGTTATGATAGAAATTTATCATTATAATCAATTAGAGTGCAACCAAAATATAAAAATAATTACTTTATTTTCAAATTAAATAAGCTCAATAATTATTATCTACAATACCTAATAAAAGGAATTAGAACTTAAAGTGACAATATATTTTTATTGAATTTGAGAATCGTACATCATAAATTATTTTAACATAGAAGAAATTTTATTAAAATAACTTAAATTTAATTAATTAATTTGATTTTATAATAATAATGATGGTTTTTATTTTATCTAAAAATGCAATATTTTTTCAGTTAATTTTTTTACTTTTAAATGTGAATTCTAATATTACAGATTAATTATTTAAAAATATTTATCATTGCATTAGACATTAATTTTTTATTTTTATCTAACTTTTAAAAAATGGTGGATTTTGGTCATTTATAAACTAACAAGATTTAAATTAGAAATTAAAAAATTTCAAATTTTTTGCTTAAATTAAAAATGAATAAATATGATTTTATTTTTAAATTAAAAAATATTATACTTAAATATATTTTAAAATTTGAGAATAAAGTAATTAAATAAATTTATTTTATTAATATAAAAAATTTTTTAATGTTTGATATTTCTTTATTTTTTGTTTATTTCTATTTTAGACAAAATTCTATTGCACACATTTTAAAAGATTAATTTAAGCTTCTTAGTTATTATTTATTTATAAAATTATTTAATATTTTTGAAAACTAAGAAACCTTTAAAATTAAATATAGTTTAGTTTAAATGTTATTTAAATATCTTTATGAACTTGTATGAAATAAAAAATCTTCTTATTTTTATTTTTAATTTGACTCATCTATAATTTATGACAAGCTCAAAACATTTATTGATTATTTTTCACTTTACATTTAAAAAAAATAAATGATAAAATCAGAAATTTATTTTATTTCAAATAATTTGTTTTGTAATTTAGTTCATACTTTTTTTGAAAATAAAATATTTAAAATGAAAATATTATTACACAATTAAATTGGTTACATCTTTTTTACTTAAGAGTTTTTGATTAGAAATAATTAAACAAAGAGTAATTATATAATCGTTTAGTAAAATTCTAAAGGCCATAACATTTGATATCTATTATCAAATTCAATTTGAGTGTTAGAATTAAAAAATATTTTTATATTTTATTTATATCATTTAAAACATAAACTCAGCTCTAAAAACAAAGAAATTTCTTAGACATTAAAGCATGTTCTATGTTAATAAATGAGAAAAATTATACCAGCTAAAATAATTAGTTCCTTTCAAAAATATAAAAATAACAATTATTAAATTAGATATTTTATAAAAGAATTTATTCTATAAATCATATATTTTGAAGGTGATTTGAAAAAAATATTAATCTTAAGAAAATATGAGTCTTTTATTGATAAAAGAATTTTTCATTATTTATATATATTATTAGGGAATCGATTTCTTATGGATATATCCATAAATAGGAGATCATGTGTTTCCTTGTATTTTTAATAAATGATATTATTCAATTCTTCATAAGATCTTGAAAAATAGGAGAAGAAAAGAAAAAATTTATTTGTTTTTATTACAAGATAAATTGAAATTAGATAATTTAGATAAACTTAAAAAAGATGAACAAAATTGTTATCTTAGCCTTAATTTTGGCTGCTGCTTATGGCGCAGTTGTAACTAATTAAGTTGCATACTAATGCATTAGTGAAGTTTCTGTCCCAGACTAGTTAAATTTCACATTTACTTATGCTGTATAGTGCAATAAATTCCACAATGGATTAGTAAATGCATCTACCTAAAAAGATCCTGTTAATATTGATAACTGGAAGTAATGCTAATAAACCCTTAAATCAGTTAAAGGAGTTTCTAAATCTGATTTGTCTGGATTTATTAATGCTATCAATAATTGTACTACATAAGGAAGCGCTTTGTAATCTGGAGCATCTACTGTTACAAACTAAGTTGCTGAATAATGTATTGAACACTTGACCATTCCTGATGAACTTTCATTTGCATTCAACTATGGTGTTGATTGTAATAAATTCCACAATGGATTAGTTAATGAATCTACTGCTAACAAACCTGTTAATGTTTCTAACTGGAAGACTTGTAAGGACATCTTAGCTGAACATTTCACTGATCCTGAAGCTAAAAACTTCTATAGTGCCATCGATTAATGCGTTTCCTCTGGAAAAACTGCTGAAACTGAAATGGCTAGTACCATTACTAATAAAGTCGCTGAAGCTTGTGTTGAAACTGTTACTGTTCCTAGTGAACTTTCTTTCGCTTTCAATTATGGAGTTGATTGCAACAAGTTCCACAATAATTTAGTTAATGAATCTACTGCTAACAAACCTGTTAATGTTTCTAACTGGAAGACTTGTAAGGACATCTTAGCTGAACATTTCACTGATTCTGAAGCTAAAAACTTCTATAGTGCCATCGATTAATGCGTTTCTACTGGAAAAGCTTCTTTGAATGAATAGGCTAGCTCTGTTACAAACTAAGTTGCTGAATAATGTATTGAACACTTGACCATTCCTGATGAACTTTAATTTGCATTTAACTATGGTGTTGATTGTAATAAATTCCACAATGGATTAGTTAATGAATCTACTGCTAACCAATCTGTTAATGTTTCTAACTGGAATACTTGCAAGAAAATCTTAGCTGAACATTTCTCTGATTCTGAAGCTAAAAACTTCTATAGTGCCATCGATTAATGCGTTTCTACTGGCAAAACCGCTGAAACTGAAATGGCTAGCACCATTACTAATAAAGTCGCTGAAGCTTGTGTTGAAACTGTTACTGTTCCTAGTGAACTTTCTTTCGCATTCAACTATGGTGTTGATTGTAATAAATTCCACAATGGATTAGTTAATGAATCTACTGCTAACAAACCTGTTAATGTTTCTAACTGGAAGACTTGTAAGGACATCTTAGCTGAACATTTTACTGATTCTGAAGCTAAAAACTTCTATAGTGCTATCGATTAATGCGTTTCTACTGGAAAAACCGCTGAAACTGAAATGGCTAGTACCATTACTAATAAAGTCGCTGAAGCTTGTGTTGAAACTGTTACTGTTCCTAGTGAACTTTCTTTCGCTTTCAACTATGGAGTTGATTGCAACAAGTTCCACAATGGATTAGTTAATGAATCTACTGCTAACAAACCTGTTAATGTTTCTAACTGGAAGACTTGTAAGGATATCTTGGCTGAACATTTTACTGATTCTGAAGCTAAAAACTTCTATAGTGCCATCGATTAGTGTGTTTCTACTGGAAAAGCTTCTTTGAATGAATAGGCTAGCTCTGTTACAAACTAAGTTGCTGAATAATGTATTGAACACTTGACCATTCCTGATGAACTTTAATTTGCATTTAACTATGGTGTTGATTGTAATAAATTCCACAATGGATTAGTTAATGAGTCTACTGCTAACAAACCTGTTAATGTTTCTAACTGGAAGACTTGTAAGGATATCTTGGCTGAACATTTTACTGATTCTGAAGCTAAAAACTTCTATAGTGCCATCGATTAATGCGTTTCTACTGGAAAAACCGCTGAAACTGAAATGGCTAGTACCATTACTAATAAAGTCGCTGAAGCTTGTGTTGAAACTGTTACTGTTCCTAGTGAACTTTCTTTCGCTTTCAACTATGGAGTTGATTGCAACAAGTTCCACAATAATTTAGTTAATGAATCTACTGCTAACTAACCTGTTAATGTTTCTAACTGGAAGACTTGTAAGGACATCTTGGCTGAACATTTCGATGATAAAGACGCTAAAGAGTTTTATGAAGATATAGATTCTTGTCTTGCTAGTGGAAAAAAGGTAGAAAGATATTCAATTTTGAGAAAATTCAAAAATTTCATTGGTATTTGAAAATTAATAAAAAATTATTAAAATATATGTTCGTGTATGAAATTGTTTAAAAAAATGTAACAAATAATGTTTTATATGTTTTAAATTTAAAGATTTGATTTTAATAGGCTAGGCTTATAAAAAAATATATATATTTTTTTAATCATATTAATTTTTTATAATTTAAATTTAATTTTTTTAAATAAAAAATTTCATATAAATAAATATAAAATCTTAAAAAAATATTAAACTCAACGAGAATGATATTTATATAAAGAATATTATTTGTAAACGTATGGTTCACCTTTTTTAATTGAATCTAAAAATATCATTTAGAAACTGCCAGGTTCAATCATTACATAAACTGAGTTATTGTTATAGTCAACTTCAAATCTTCTTATTGCAATTTCATCTTAGCTGTTTTCAATTCTCAAGTTTTCGAGTTAGAAATTAATTTTTTCTTCATATTTATACTCTCCCAAATTTTGGATTAGTATAACTACTCCTTCAGGGTGTTAATAATTGTAGACATAAACACCAATTTCTTATTCCTTCCACATTCTTTTAGATGGCACTGAATTTACCTTCATAAATTAAATCAAATCTTTAGCTTAATATTAATTTCTATTTTCATCTAAAGTGTCATGTCTAGTTACTAATTGGTGCACCTTTGAACTTCTCATGTTATTATTGAACTTTAAAGATTTAGATTATCTTAATCCTTTGCTGTTAAACATATTCTATCCATTATAAACAGAAGATGAATTCTAAAGGTCAGATGCTTTAACTTCACTTTAATTGATAGGATCTAAACCAGCTTTAATCTTGCAATTAAAAGAGAATTTTTCGCCAAATGGATTATATTTATATACAACTACTTATTCATTCCCTGGTGATATAATAACTTCATACTGATTATTATTATCAAATGGTTTTTAAATGATTAAATTTTCTAATTCAGCCATTTCTACCTTGTTTTTATTAAAGAAATTTATTTTACAAAAATACTACTTAAATTTAATTTTACTCTCTCCCTTAGCTTCTTTGTTCCTCTATTCTAGTATACAAAATAAACCATTCCTGCAATTATATCATTATAAATTTTAATATTTGGTTCACCATTATTTGAATAGTCACGTATCTTTTGAGTTGGCATAGGGTTATTTAGAGCAATATGTTAAATTATTTATTTTTAAATATCTAATAGGTTTGCAGTATCTAATTCTTAAATCACAGTAGGCACTGATTCTCCATAAAAATTAACAGTAAATGTTCTGTCACCAGCTTAAACCCAATAAACTTCGATTGTTAGGATATAATCACCTTTTGAGAATATAAATTGAAATTTATATTATTTTTTAAAATAAATATAATATTAATTGATAGAGAAAACTTATATTTAGTATTTAAAAATTTTAATTTTGCTTTTAATCAATTTTTTATTACCTGGTTAAAAAATATCTTCTAAAAATATTTCTCTCTCTGACTGATAATTAGCTCCGACATATTCATAAGTTTTAGAGTATTAACTGTTATTTACTTTTGCAATCATGATTCTAGTGCAAGGATATTCATAGTTAGGAGAGGTTTTAGTAGCAATTCTTTCGTCTTGCTAATGGAGAATAACATACATATGACTCTGCTATTCTACTGTAAATTTGATAATACTTTAATTTCTACCTGTATGGTCAATGTTAATCCACTTTGTTAATAAAAATAAATTATTAGAACAATTAATATTAATTTTTGAATGAATTAAATTAAATACCTTGTAGACATAGTTTTCATGAGTTCTTAAATTTCCTAGATATTAGAACATGTTTCTGAATTCAGATAAACTCATCCAAAAAGTACCATCTTCACTTGGAATAGGCTTGACATCATAAGTATCTCTTAGTGCACTAGTCCACTTAGAAGACTAGTTGCTCCATTAACCTTGATAAACTAGTTAATTGATTGGAGATTTGAGTTTGACAATAATTTCTTATCCTAAATTTTCTATGGCCAATACGCTAAATGAATATCCGCTATTTTCTAGTACGCTAGAGCTTCGAGTCTAATAATAAAATTAATTGAGGTTTATTTATGCACTTTTAATTTTTAATTTACGTTTATATCATTTTCTGCAAATACCAAAAAACCTCTCTTGATCCATGAATCCACATATTAAAACCATTCTTCTTCTGTACCATCATCAATAATTTCTGTAGGTGCTCCTGTTAAATCAGTTAAGGCATTATGGGTGAAACCTCCATTCAAACCCATATAATTTCCGTACATTTTAGCCAAAGCTTTTTCCAAAACCATGAGCCAAATACCATTATTTGTTTAAGCCATGCAATATTAGTTATTTTTAGTAGGGAAATTATCATCTAATACCATGAGATCCCACTATCCAGCTATATAATTAAAAAAAAAATTATTAAATATGCCATTAAATTTGAAGGATTTATTCAATATGAACACCCCTGATAAAAGAGCTTTATCACTATTTCTCAAAAATAATAAAAAATTCCTTATAAATATTTAAATGAATTAATTGAAGTACCTTAGTTAACCCAAATTCCAAATATTCCTGCATTATTTATTTAGGTGATTTCAAAATTTCTTACTATCATATCCATTTTGCTCAATAGAATATTTAATGCGCTTAATACATACCTGTTAAGAAAAAATAACTTTTAAAAATATTGCTAATTACGAAATAGTTAAGTAAATACTTATCTTCGATTATTGTGCTACTTTAAATGAAGTCAATTGGTTTTCCCTAAATTAAAAATCTTAATGAATCTTGGTTGACGAGTTATGTAAGTCTCTTCCATTCTATTTTGTGATTAAGTTTTTAATCTGAAATAGAAGATTCAGATGGAGAAAAAGTTGTATCAGTAAATGGGAAATTTTATTCGATTCTAAGTTGTAAAACATGTAACTTTTTTTTTAGATCTTCTGTTTATTGTAAAGGTGGTTCTATCAAAGTAGAAACCTTTTTAAAAATTCCCATACTGCTTAAATATTCAAGAATATCTCTTTCTGATTCTTGCTATTGATAATTATATTAGTTCCTATCAGCATATGGATCCTGCTATTGGCCTAATTCAGAATTATAAGCATATTAATAACTCTAGTAATCCATTTTATTAATTTTTTTTTCAATTAAGCTGTATCTTAAGTAAGTTTGTCTTTATTTCTCTCTGTGAGACTTTGTATGCTTGTATGCTTTATACTTATTTTTTATATCTTTATGTAAAATTTTAACAAAAAAATTTAATCACTTTATTTGCTTTAGCAGTAATGAAATTTTTAGAATTTTGATACCAACTTCTGTAGTGAAAAAATCCAAAATATAAAATAAATATAAATAAATAACAAATTAAATATTGATGCGAGCAATTAAACTAAAAAACAATACTGATTTAATATTTTTTTTTGTATATCTTATTTATTAAATGTTAAGTATTCAAGTGCTTGATCTAATTTTATTTTTCAAATAAAAAATTTTAAAAAATATATATTTGAAATAGAAAGAGTCCAGCTAACTTATTTTCTAAATGTTATCAAAATTTATTAATTATTTATATTAATTTTGTTTTCAGTCTTAATCACTAAATTTATTAATAAAAAAATTATCTATTTTAAAATATAAAAATTAAATTTTATTTTTATTTACTTTAAAATTTCTAAACAAATCACCTTCATAATTTTTTTATTAATTTTATTCAAAATAATATTATGTTGTTTAAGTTTATAAAAATTTTGTTAATTATTTTTCAAAATAAATGAGTTAAATAGTTATATTTAATCATAAACAAAAATAATATATAAAATTAAAAAAAATGTTTTACAAATATTAATAAACATGATATATAAGGGAAAAAAAATTAATTCAACTATAAGTAAAATATGAGTGATTATTTAGTTTAAATTGTTGAGGATTAAGAGCAGAAACACTATTACCTATTTGACTCTTATTTTGTTCTTCTTCTTCATATATAATATTTTCTTTTTATTTTGATATAAAACTATTATCTTCGTTTGACATATATTTTTGATCTTATTAATTTATTAGATTGCTTTCATGTTTTGTGTAATTGTCATTTGATTTAACTGCATCTTAAATAAACTACCTGTCAGTTTCAAAATCTCTTTTTGTAGTATCTTATTATTAATTTATCTAATTATTTTCTCTTGTTGAGCTTGAGTCCTGATAAACTAATTCTTATGTTTAATCTTATTTTGAAATATCTACTATTTATACAGATTCTATTTTATCAAATACTAATGTAGATGATTTACCATCTTTTTGTAATTTACCTTATTTTGGTATTGAAAGTATCTCGCTTTTATTAATTACCTCATTGGATTCATGTAAATTTCCTGTTTTCTTCTTAAAAATGGAAAAATTAGACTATTCTTCTTATATTTTTTGTTTAAATTATATTGAACTTTAACTTTCAAAAGACAAAGGCTTAACGATAGGCGATCCATGTATATTACTAACTTTGGTGTTTATTTTGGAATTAGCAACGAAACTCATTTAAAGAGATTAATCATCTGCAAGGATGCTATCTCCTTATATTGCATCTGCATCGTTTACTGCATCAAAATATTCATCTACTACATTAAAGTGATATTATTTAATGACATACAAATCTATATCAATGATTCTGATTAGCAGATCTTCAACATCTTAAGACTGAGGTACCCCTTAAAGAGTTATGACACCATTTTTATGATCAAAAGTGATCCAATTTGGCAGTGTCATATTTTTTGACATACCATACCCCATATATTCAAAGTTAAATATCTTTCTAAGATTCATACACCAAGCATTTTTGATTTATTTAAATGCCTCTACAGAGTTGATTTCATAAGAAAATAAATGTATTGACTCTCCTACACAAGGTGAAAAAATTGATGGAGTTTATTCAACTAATCCCAAGGCATCAGCAAATAACACCTCTCTAATTAAGTTATGGTTTATGTCTAGCTTACTAATAGATTCAAATGATTACCCAATACAATTATTGAGTTATAAATCAATTAATATAAGATTTATTTGTGGTTCATTTAAACAACATTCAGCAAAAGGTACTGGGAACCCATAAATATCCTTATTTTCTGTTGCAACGATATTAACCAAACTTTTATACCAATCATTTTTTGACTAATTTAAAAAGTTCTATGCATAGTATTTCAAATAGTTGTAAACTTCTTAAGACCTTACATCTAATTTTAAGAAATGACGACAAGCAATAGCCTTAATTCCTTTGAAAATTCTAGATTCACAATTCTTAAAGTCATTTATAAAATTTTTTGCTTAATATTTTTTACTTTTTAGTGTAAAAGATATGTTTTTATGAACCATATCTCTTAAAATTCGAGACATACTAACATTACCATCCTTTTTTAGGTATTCTCTTTCAAGCGGGGTTTATCTAGTATGCTTTGGAGTCATTTAAATAATTTAAATTGTGTTTTTTAATTTTTAGTCATTTAAGTTTGCCTTTTCTGTTATAACTTTGAGACGTCTTATTTAAGCAAAATTGCTAAATTTATCAGATTCTACTGCTAGTTTATCTTTACTTCGTTATTCAGGTGTACTCTATTTCATTTTCTTTTTAACCAATTCACTTTAGAAATTTTGTGATATTTGTATATTTGACATTTAAAACTAATGAGATGGAGTATTATCTTACTAAATTTAAGATTGGCTTCCAAAACGATCTAACTTATTCTTGACATTATCCATTTCTTCAGCAAATCTCTCTCTGTCATTTGCAAATCTTTGAATAAATTCTGAGAAGAAAAGCTTGCTTTTTTCCAAATCATCTCCAAGAACTGTAATTTTTTTTTTATAAGGTTTGCCTCGGATTGCTATTTCAGTAGAAAACATAACTTTATTTCTATTAATGGAATTTAATATTATGCTTTTGTATTTATAAACTCCAAAAACAGCAAATATAGGACCAAATATTTTGATGAGGAGATTAAATACGTAAATAAAAGGTAAACCAGCTGCATTCATATAAAAAGTGTCATAATCATAAGTGTAACCATCTGAAGCATTTATTTTAAGATAAAAAACTTGATTAAATGCTGAAACTGGAGGAGTTCCATATACGGTTATCGAACCAGAAACAGTCTAGAACTAAATCCAGTCATCAGGTGTTATTTAAATATATTCTTAGCCTTTTAGAATGTAAATCTGATAGGTTATTGTATTTAATTCAGAATTTATAAAAGATTATGCAGAAAAGTCTACTGAAAATTAATTTTAAATGTCTATAATTGCGTTAGCGTATTACTTATTAAACTATGCTTAGAGGGTTAATTAAGGATTTTTTTTCAATAGTTACTTTTATTTAATGAAAACACAGTCTTTAATTTTATTCACTTGAGTTATATCATAATTAACTCCATCGATTAAAGTTATAGTGACATTAATATTATCGAATGCTGTTTAGTTTGCAAAAATCACTTTCTAAGACAGAACTCTGTTAAGATTAGTTAAGGAACCTTCGAATTTTAATTAGTTTTAAGAGTCTGTGGTAGAAGCTATTACTCCTGAGAAGTTTTCCAAAACAAACTTCCCCATATTTTCTTATACTTAGAGATAAAGTTGAATACTTTAAGAAAGTGTTGAAATAGGAGCTGTTAAATTTTTAACATTGAATGATAACGATGATTAAACATAAAATAACACAGGGTTAACATAACTACCTCTTTGAAGTGTTAGTTTAACCAAATCAAATAGTCTTTGTGTGCTTTATATTCCATTAAATTAGAATTAAAGTGGTTCTTAAGGATCAAATAATTGAGTTATTAATCCATTTGAGTCAATAATCTTTTATTCCTGTAAGTAGTCATAAATTAGTTATCCTTAATCTGGTGTTGTCTAAAGGTCAGGATAGTTATACTAAAAAGAAGTAGGAAAGAGAGGCACAGCAATTAGTATTAAAACAGTATTTAGGTTTGGTGCATTTATATTACTTGTATCAAGTCCTGTTTTATCTACAGAAAGTAATAGATTTCTATTATTTGCATCGTAGTTCATCCAAAATGGGATACTTTTTATTTATTATTAAGAATAATAGCTTACTGAAAGTATACTCATTCCTTCCAGAGGATAAATAGGAACAAAGTTTAACTAAACTGATTAACCAACAAGCAAGCTTTAGTCTTTTCGAATATTTATTAGAGATTAAGAACCATCACCAGCTGTTTATATCAGCTAAATTTCTGTATGAATAATAACCTAGCTTTTCATAGGCAATAAAATTGTTCCTAAATTATTATTTATGAAAACATAATTCTAATCCGGTGTCAAGCAGATAGATTAGGCTGACTATGTTTAATATTGATAAGAAGAAAGAATTTTGGGATTGGCGATATTAGAGATATCAACAAGAGTCATCATACCTGCTTCAAGCTGAGCTACTAGTAAATATTAGTCATTTTAAATAGGTAATATAAAATTAACCCAGCCTTATAAAGGTTATATTCTGCTAAGAATTTTAATAGCTGGTAATGCAGTTAAATCTAATATCGCAACACCTTTAAATCCATCATATAAAAATGCGAATGTATCGTTATAAAGGGATGGTGCTAAACCTTCTCCACCTAATGTTTACAAAGTACTTTTAAAAGTTAAATTAGTTTTTACAGATGCATCGAGGACATATATTCCATAGCCTCTAACAGCTCCAATCACATAATTATTATCATTAGTTATCATAACTCCTGCATTTTCTCCTGTCATGTAAGTTAAAATCTTCCAATAGCTTAGTAACTTTAGCTATGGTGGCTAAGAAGAATCTATCAGTAAAATACCATTATCATAGGAGCTAACGAAGTATTTATAGTCTTTAGAGAAAAAAATAGCCTCGTTATGATTAGGGCTATCCATATTTAATCTAGCTACCTCAATTGGATTGGTAATATTTAAGATGTCTAAAATAAGGAAGGATGTGTTGTTCTCTTAAATAGGTACATAGAGGTATCTATTATTTTAGCTGATAGCCATACTATCAATTAAGGAAGAAGCTTAATATACTTTTGAGTAAACGCTTTTCATTTAGTATGGATCAGTGATGTCAAATATTCCAAAACCAGCTGCATCAAATGAACCAAAAAAATAATCTTTACCTTGTATGGTTTCAGTGAAACATCTCCATTTATAGAAGGCAGGTGAAGGCTATTATATTGTTATTTGATGGTTATTGAATAAATTAGGGTAGTTATTATTTAAATTTGGTGGCCTTTATTAAAAAACATAGATACTAACAGCGTTTGCGTAGTAGAGAAATTTCTCATCAGGAGAAAGTTCGACTGAAAAAGAGTGAGCGCCGACTGAAATTCCTTAGAAAAAAACCGGATTTAATTTATCGCTGATATCAAATATATAAACACCTTAAGAACGAACTCCTACTAACAGAAAATTGTTGTTTTTTGTAAATTTGAGAGAATATACAGAAGGATTAATTGAATTAAAAGGCCAATATCTAGTAAATTTAATAGTTACAGGATATTGAGAAGGAGTTGCTTACAAAATTTAATTAAAATCACAGATAAATATACCGTTCCAATTATCTAGTCCGTATAAGTACTTATTGTCATCAGTTAGAATACCTGCCCAAGTTTTCCAAATCATAATTCCTTACCCAACCAACAGAAATTCCTATGAATTGTCTTGAGAATTGTTAATAACAGAGAGAACATATAATCCAAGTAGATCGTTGCCAAGTATAATCCAGTTTCCATCTTTTGAAATAGATCCTTAGTGAATTATATTAGATTAAGAATTATAAAAACCTATTTGCTAGACCTATTACTTTTTTGAAATATCATAAGCTACAAGTTAGCCATTCAATCCAACAGCGTAAACTATTGTTTGTTATTAGTTTATAAACATGTCAATGATTGTGGTTGGGAAATTAGCCTAGCTCATAAGCTTAAAAGATGACCTGTTGACAAATTTAAATATACTAAATTTTGCTTAGTATGACATCATGACATACTCTCCGTCAGTGGTGATCTCTAATGTGAAGAGAAACTCTTCTGCCTTCTACTAAAATATTATTTAATTAGTTTTTCCATCTATAACTATGATTCCTTAGTAACCAGCAGAAATAAATACCAAATTTGCCTGTTCAGCCACTTTAATCTTAGTAGAAGCTCCTTAAGGATCTGTTATATCATATTTATACTGATAAAAAGGAGAATAAACAATGCTTATTTCACTTTGTTAAAGCGAAAAACATAAAACTGAGCTAAAGCTTGCTAGAAATTTATAGAATAATAAAAATACTATAAATTAAGTTTCTTTGATAACTAAAATTCTTAAAATGTTCATATTTTCAATTAGTTTGAATTTGTTTTACAATTAATTATTTCTCCTTAAATAATTAGAATAACTTCTTCTTATATATCGCTTAAATTTATTAAGTAGAAATTTCAGACGAGTGAATATTAATAAAAAAATATTCATTTCAAACCCCAAAATTTGTTAGTTTTTTAACTATGATATTGTTTTACTCTTTAAAAATTAGAAAAGCTATATATAGATCATTTGTTTTCTAAATAATCACGTGAAGATGAAATTTTGTGTAAGGTCTAATTAACATAAAGTAAATTATTATTATTTATTATCAGTTTACTCAATAAAAATCATTTACTTAATAAAATAAATTCTTTGCTAAAAATATTAAAATTGACATAAAGTATAAATTGTTTTATTAATCTTTTATTAAAAATGTTTATTTTAGATTTTTACTACTTCTGCTTCGAGTATTTATGATAAGCAACCTAATTATCAATAAATTTGCTCTTTTGTTTTAAAATTAAATTTAAAAAACAAGAATCATTCATCAGCAATTTTCCAAAAATAAATAAATTATGTAAGGAGTATATATTTATGTTTGAAAAATCATATTAAATCAATATAAAATAAAAGTAACTGAAAAATTGTTAAAAAAATATGAAATATTTTTAGTTTTTCAATTTAGATTATTGTTTTTAGTGAAACTTTAAAATATTCTTTAAAAATAAAATCTACTTTGTATTTTTATTGGTTAATAAATTGCATTAAGTGACTAATTTATTTTTATTGATGCGGTAAATAAATAAATTAATTAAAAAAAAAGGTCATTTAATAATTAGATTATCTATTGCTGCAAATAGTTTTTATTAGAAAAAATTTATATTTAATTTTATTAAAGTGTATAAATTAAATTTTATTTAGTCATTATATGAATATAAAATGCAGAAAGAATTTATTTTCAACTTTTAACTGAATTTCATAGATGTAATAAAACTTTCTAAAAGAAAATTAAAATTAATTAATATTATTTTTCAAATTTGATAAAATATTTGAACTGTGAATAAAAAGATTAAAATAATTTTTAGACCTAAATATTTAAAAAGTAAAATTAAAAAATTGTAAAATATAATAAAATATAGTAAATTATGAATATGTGAAAATTAAAAATAATTTTAATAATTATTTTAGAAAAATAAATTTTAATTTTCACCAATTATGGTCTAGTCCCTCAGCCTAAATTTTGGCTAGCTCTTAATTAATGAAGATTTAGAGTAATATAGTTAATTACTATCAATATCAATATATTGTGGAATTATTTATTAGAGTTAAGGAGAAAATGTATCAATTTAATTTATTTATTCATATTAATATTGATTATTACTTTGTTATTTATATTTACTTACACTTAATCTTCAAAATTATAATTATCATTCTTAAATTCTTCATAAACGTTAATAAAAATCTGCTTAAATATTTAAATTTCAATTATATTTAAAAAATAATATTATTAAATCAAATTAAAAATATTGATTTGATTATGAATAAATTACGTTTTATCAGTTTTTTTAACTCATTTATATATAAAAATTTAATGATAGGTACTCACTCTTCTTATGTTTTTTTATGTTCACATATTAGAATTTTTCAAAGCTACCTGTTATATTATAAGAACATGTAATACAAATAAACAAATTAAAAAACAATAAAAAACTATTTTAGATTCATTATTAAAATATCTTTGGTTATTTTTTTAACATAAATAATATTGTAAATAGTAAATTATTTTTATGATAAATTTTATCATTAAGATATTTAAAAAATTAAAAATTTTAAATATTCAAATATTTTAACAATATATCGATAAACATGGCATTTAATAAATTTTGTATAACAAATTTTAATAAAAAAATATTTATATAAAATTTTCAATAATATTAGTATTAACATTTAAAAGAAGCTTCATAAATATTAAGGAAATATAATTTCAATCATATGTTGATATATTTTAAAGAAAAGAATAAATATATCTTTACTTCTTTTTTTATGATAAAAAATCTTTATTTTTAATTAAAATACTTCTACTTATGTTTGAATTTAAAAGGAACGACACTAATTGAAATATATATAAACAATGTTTTAGAACTAACTTGTTAATTAAATTTACTTTTCTAAAAATTTATTCAAAACTTATCATAATTAAAAAAATAATTAATTGATAAAAAAATATTTTAAATTTAATCTTACAAATTAATTTCAATAAATTAATTAACTTCAATTAATGGCAAACAAACAAAATAATAGGCTGTATCCTTATTAAATTTTAGACTTGTGTATTTAACATAAATGAATAAATAAAAAGTCAGGATATTACAATTAATCTTTCAAAAAAAAAAAAATTGTAGATAGAAGCACTTTATGGTATCAACAAAAAAATCTCCTTATTTAAAAATTTAATATTGTTTAAAATTGCACTAACTATAGCAATTTTTTTCATATCTATAACAAATATAGCTAAAAAGTAAATTAATACAATAAAGTGGATAAAATTGAGGATAATGAGATAATATTTTGTAATCATTTTTTGGGTTGTATAATTTGCATATTTTCAATTAAAGGTAAATGGTATAGGCTGTCCCTTTTGGCAAGTTGCAGTATAAAATGACATAATTTAGATATAGTAAATAATTCTTCTAAAATCCAACCCATAAAAAGAATTTGAAGATAGAGCTGCAATTGTTTACACTCCATTTTCTATTGGAGTCTTTAATTTATAAACTAATCAATAGTATGAATTAGTTAATCAATAGGAATCAGTAGCATTTTACTAAATTGATAAAGATGATAGACCAATCTTAAAAATTTCTAATTTGCATACATTAGATGCAAATAATAGGGTTATTGATTGGAATCCTTTAAATGGATTGAAACAAAAAACCATTGAAATCCCAAAAAATATAAGTATAAGTTAAGTATCTTGTTTAAATTCTTAAGAAACCCTAATTTTTTCATGGAATTCTACTCATGTAACTTTTTGTTTACTTTTATTAAAAAAATTAAAATATTTATTTCCCTTATAAAAAGATTTTTGTTGTTGATTTTTCATAACCGCTAGCTCATGGAGAAGGGATTTTAGTTTAGTAAATAAACATTTAAACATAATTTGTTTAGTGTACAAATGATAAATTAAATAGACGTTTTTTATTAGCTGATTCTTTGGGAGGAATATATTCCTTTGATATTTAAACATAAAGTTTAACACTTCTATTCAAAATTAATTAATTCTAAGCGCTTTTGTCAATTTATCCTACTAAAAATTAAATAGCATTATCTTACCAATCAAATGATAAAAATTATATAGCTTCTTATAGCAGCGTATAATTATAATTTGAATAGTAAATTAATCAAACTTCTACTTAAATATTAGTTAATAATGAAGAGGATTAAATTGTAGTTGTAGGATAATAAAATCTATTTTAATTGTGGTAAATAAAATAAAATAAATTGATTTATTAAGCAGACTTTTAATTAATGGATTGTGATTTTAACGATTCAAATTCAACTAGCGTAGATAGTAATATAAATTTTAAATTTGGGTCTATAAATTCAAATAATGAAGTTTCAATAGTTTCAGAAAAATATGTTTTTGCTTTCTCAATAGATTAACAAAAACCAATAATATTCAAGAACTAAAATTTTGGAATAAATTTTATTCAATCCTTCATAATAGAAAATAAAATAATTTTAGCTTCTGACCAATCAATCTCTATAATTGATAAAAAAACATAATAATTTATTTATGTTACAAATCACTTGATTAATACTGCAACAAATTATGATGTCATATAACAAATAGAAATAGATAAGGATTTAAATAGGTAATCAATGATTATTAAATTATCATATTATTTCTAATTAATTTTTATTTTTTAACAAAGAGTTATCTTTATTAATTTTTCTGGAGTTATTGAGTATTGGTCTTATTTTGATAATCAATTTGAAGCATACATAGATTCCTTACCTTCAAATTCTTAATTTATTATCAACAAATCTCTTAATAAAGTAAATAAATACATTTTCAATTTAGCTCATATTTATATTGATTCATTTCTTTATTTTTTAATGTAAAATAAGCTCAATTCTTACAAAATAAAGGAAATTTTTGTTTATTTATAAATATAGCACTTCATATATTTTATTATAAATATAATTTTTATTTCTTTACAAATATTTTAAGATTTAAAAATCTTGAATTTACAACTAATTTATACTTATATTATTTGATAAAACTATATAAATATTTATTTAAATATTATTATAAATTTTACATTATTAGTTAGTTCAATATGTTTTAACATATTCAGGATCAGGATTGCAAAATATAATTGGAATTTATAATTACAGAGATGGATCATTGATATAATTAATAAAAAATGCATATAATATTGATAGGCTTTCAGGCTTTTTATTACTTTAAGATGAAACAAATGGATTTTTGATAGGATTTAATAATAGCACATTATAATATACTATATATAGATTTCAATAAGACAATAATCACTCTTTAATATTTAATGGCACCTTATTCCAGAATTTAGATTTAAACTAGTATATTTAATAAGCCTTTTTAATAGAAAAATATTAATTAATACTTTTATAGTTTGATAATTAATTATTTTTATTTAACTATTTCTACTATGATAGCTTGTATAATAATCCTATTCCTATTTAGGGTTTGTAAAATCCTATCTTATACTTCTACTTTAACCAAACTACTCTCAGTTTATATGCTATTTAGCAATATAACATCTAAGTAAATTCAACTTATAAAAATATTTAATTACTTATTTATTTTTAATAAATTTAAAAGATTTACTCTCTAACACAAAATGTATTTTAAATGACAAATTCGATTTAAATTTAAGCAATTAATAACTCAACATAAGTTTAGCTTATAGAGGAGTAGAATACACTTATTGTTTTTAAGTAGGCGCAAATAAATTTCTATTACTATTCTATAAATAGGACATAAGTATTAAATTTATAAAATTAACCAATCATTAAGTATGCTTGTGATTATTCCAAATCTATTCTAATTGCAATAAGCAATGACTACTATCTATATGTTATAGATATACAAAAATCCAGTTTATTATATACTTTAACGCTTGATGCAAATTAAATGTAAAGTCTTTACATATACCCAGATTAAAATTTAGCAACAATAAGCTTCAAAAATGGAAAATCTATTATATTTAATTACATCACCTACACTTATTAGGGTGTTTTAAATTATAAGTATAGTTAAGTATAATATTTTGATACCTAATATAACAATCTGTTTCTAATGTCAAGCACTAAAGTAATTTTATAATACATTTTTAAAAACAAATTTAAATATATCCTCTAATAAAATAGCTGCTCAGTAAAGCACTTAAAAGTTTTGGATTGATATAATAAATATCTTATTAAAAAATAATTAATTATTATTTTGATATTTAATCTGGTCTGACATTTGTATTGGCTGATTAAGTTTACATTTATAATTCATTAAAATAACAATATTTTCCACCTTTTCCCACTATTGACATATAGAACTCCTAATTTATATTCTCTATACCATCAAAAGATTTCATATTTATATAATTTGTATCAATAAATTAAAACAAAATATCTGTATACAAATTGAGTACTTATGAGTATGTGGGAGATCTTAGCTACTAATCAAAATAGTGCTAAATGCTACTTTCTTTGGTATACGATTTTAATTCAAATCGACTTTTCTCAGGCTGTTATCCACGGAATTCTTTAGTTTGGGATTTAAATTAAAATTTCAAACTGATAAAAGTTATAAATTATTTTTGCCCCATTTCGATAGTTTTTGATGTTTAGACTAAAAGAATTATTATGACTACAGTAAATTTATATTTTAAATAATTTTTTTGTTTATTAAACATATATTAAAATAGTATGCATGGTTCTCATATACATTAGACTATGACACCCTTGAACAAAAAGGAATAATAGATGGAATTTATGGGGATTTCGATCACATCAGAGGCCTTTAAATTACTTGGGATGTATCAAACTTTATTTTTAATAAATATTTAAAAAGTATTATTTTATTAAAGTAAAATGGAGATATAAGGATATATAATTCAAATTCAAACTAAATAGCTTTTTAGCATGCTCATGAAGGTTGGGTTAACCAAATTATAATAGATAGCACCAACATGATTCTAACTTCTATTGGGTAATATTACAATTTTTAAAATATCAAAATAACTATTTTTTTTTTAATTTGTAAAAATAATTTTATTAATTTTAAGCAGTGTCTTTTATTAATTTTTCATTTTACTTGGCTTGGCATTTAAAGAGAAAACAATAAGTGTAAAAATAATCATTTATTATTATAAATATAGAAATGATCTCACTATAAAAGTATGGAGCTACTCATCTTTAAATTATTTAAATTTGATGTAAATACTTAACTTTAACAAATTAATTTGATAATAACTATAATTTTTAAAGCTAGGAATAGGTTTTATAGGGATAACTAAATGTTTAATTCCTAGATAAAAACAATAATTATTTATTTGTAGGGGATAGTAATGGGTATATTTATCAATTAACTTATCCTGATTTAAATTTATAGAATACTATTTAGGTTTGTAATTAATTAATAGATACCTTGTATATTGATTTGAGTCATAATATTCTTATTTATGGTTCTTAGGCAGCTTGTTTATTTGGATTATATAATTTAGTTGATTTCATAGCCCCAAATTCATATTCAGAAAGCTATAGATAGTTAGGTTTGTTAAATTAAAATGAATGCTTATTAATAAACAATTTTATTAAAAGGTGTATTATCTGCTTTGAATACTGACTATGGAGTAATTTTTCATCAGACTCAAACTCTTGTATAGAAATGGAATTTTTCTACTCAGCAGATAGAGTATGGTTTTTATGCTAACAGCCGAAATTTTTAATATGAACCAGAAAGTGAATTTTTAATTTTACAAGGATAAAATAAGATAGTTGCTTTTATTAGAAGGGATTAATTAACATTTTTTGATATTCAAACTTTTGATATTTTAAATACTTAACAACTTAATTGTTTGAGAAACATTTAGCTTTATTCTTATCTCGTATGCTCTCTTTTGAATTAATTAACGATTATAAGTCTTAGAGACTACTCTTTTTTTTAGGTAATAACACTCAATGAAAATTAATCAATTATCAATCTATAAATTATTGACAATAAATATTCATTTTTTGCTACAACAACACAAGGTGAACTTATTTGCTATAGTTTTAATTAATCAAATAATTAATTTTTATAATAATTATACTCCAAGCTGCTTGATAATGCAGTAGCTAATTATTTATTTGTTTCTTCAAATAATTATTACTTTGTTTTAGCTTCTTGTTTTAAAGGCTAACTTGTTTTGCTTTAGTTTTCTTAGTAGCTCTTAATTGAATAACAAAAAGAAATAAAATTGTAAGGTGTTAAATCTCATGTTCATGTCATGGTCTAATACACTGATAAGGTATTTTTTTATTTAATTATTTGTTGGTTTTCTATTATTAAATTTTATAAATTAATTAAAATAAATAAAATTTGCAACATGATTTTAATTATTTTAATAGCAAATTGAAATTTTTTATCATAATTCACTCCTGAAATATTTTATTAATTTAAAAAGATTTTCATAAAAAGAGTAAGCGATTTATATTTAGGTATTTACAGTGCAAGTGTATTTAATGAAATATAGTAAATATCAAGCCCTTGTATGGGTTACACATATAAATTGGAAGTAAATTCTACTTTAGATATCATTTTATAACATTGTGTTGGCATATATCAAATCAATTCATTTAAAAGTTTCTAATAAGTAGCTTATGGAAGATTCACTAATCAAATAAATTTAATAGATGTTTACACATCTAATTTAAACTAAATTTTACTAATTAATAAAAATTACTTTATAGACATATACCCATCATAAATATTAATTTACAAAATAGATTACACTTAAGCAAATGTCATTTTGCTTGGAAATTTATAAGGAATTGATATAGGAAAAGTGGCTGATTATTTTATTTTTGACACAACAAAAAATACCTAAATTTAATTAATATTCTACACTTTGAGCGCAATAGGAAGAATTCAAATACCTATTTATGGGGAAAATGCTTGCATAGTATAAATAGATTATGATTAATTTACTTAAACCCTGTTCTAAATCGAAAAAATTTTCCAAAAAATTTAAAGCTATTACTTGGTCTAGTCTTTTATTTTTTAATTGATTATAAGTTAAGAGATTGTTTTATAATAATTACCATAATCATCATTTTCATAAATAACAGAAGTATTAATTACTTAACAAAAAGCAATAGATTAATAAGTTGGCATATAGAAAGTATACATTACAGAAGATTTATTTTAGTCCTTTAATGGATACAATTTAATCAAATTTGAAAACCTTGATCTTGAATCAATTTTTATTTCTAGTGATATTCTTATATTCTCTATTTAAAATATTACCTCGTTATAGCTTAGTAATGTTAGGTTAACTTCATAAGTATTATATTCATTTCAAATTTCCTAAGTGTAATATGTTACTTTTGATTAATTTTATTTACAAGATGCAAATTATATTAGTAATTAAACCTAAAGTCTATTTAACTTTACTTTAGTATCAAATATAAATTTCAGTTAGATCTTCATTAAATAAGTATCCTTTAGCCAAATTATTATATTTTACTTTGGTGATGATATTAATACGAACAATTATTCTTAATTATCATTTTCTAATTTTATATTTGAGAATTCATCAATTTCTTATATTCAAGATAATCAGTATTCAGCTCCAATTTTAATACAAAATTTTAATAATGTAAAATTAAGTAAATTCTATTTAAGAGATAATGAAGGTTCCTCAAAGCCATTTATAAAAAGCTCTATTATTTCAGAGTTAAAACTTGAAGATATTTTATTTTAAAATAACAAAGATATGATGCTCATAGAATATATGAATGTTTTAGCTCATCTATAAAATAAATTGTTGATAACTTAATAAATACTTTAAGATACTATATGTTTAGAGAACATATAAATATAAAGCATTAAAATTACTAAACCATCTTTATATCCTATAGTCTCTATTAGAAGCTCTTAAATTTATCTTAATTAAAGCTCAGCTAAGAATAATATTGCAAATTTCACTAATTAAAATTCTTTATTTACTCTGCAAGCAGAAAACTTACTAATTACTAATTCGACATTAAATTAAAATTCTGGTTTTTAAAATTTATTGTTGATATAAAATACATAATAAGGAAATATTCAATCATTGATAGTTTCTAATAATTTAATTATGGCAGCTTTACTTATAAGCCAATCTAATATATAAATATAAGTATCTTAAATAAAATAAAATTAATCTAAATCTGTTAAATAGTAAAGTTCTGTTGTTACAATTATACAAAATTCATTAATTTAAATTTAATCTTTAGAATTTGAGTAAAATTAATCAAATAATGGAGGTTCACTATTTATATCTTCTAGTTAATTAATAATAAGCTAATCTTTTTTTAAAGGAGATAAAAGCATACTAAATGGAGGTTCTATTTATTCATAGAATTCTTAATTAACTATTTAGTAAAGTTAATTTTATCAATGCTCCTCTATGATTGGAGGATGTATATTTGCATAAGAAGGAAATTTAAATATAAGTTAACTGCTTTCTTAAAATAATACAGCTACATAATTAGGTGGCTTTTTATATATTAATTAATTAGATTAATTTATATTATAAGATATTGATATTTCTAATAGTATATCGTTTGGTGATGGTGGATCTATATATATATAACAATCAAAGGGAATTAATTCTGTTATAGCAAAGAGTACTTTTTTAAATAATTAAGCCAAAGGGTAAATATAATTTTTTTTATTTAATTTAAAATTATTATAAATAATATTTAATAGAAGCGGAGGGTCAATACTGACAGATAATTCAAACTTCTAGATAATACAATGTAAATTTTAAGGAAATAGTGCAGGTATAGGAGGAGCCATTAGATATTTAAATTTAAAACCTGCTTTTATGCTAAATTTAAAAAATAATATTTAAGACACTTGCAATACTTACCAAAATAATGAATGCTACAACAATACGTCTCTTATATTTGGAAACTCTATAGCCAGCTATCCTTGTAGAGCTTCTGTTTTACCAAGCAAATATTTTAATGTGCATTCAGAATTTCCAAACATTAGTTTTAGTAATTTTTAAAGTGGATTATCTAATTTCGATCTAGTTATTGTATTTTTTGATGAGTTTAACAATCCAATCAATTAAATAGATTTTTAGAATTAAAGTAATATTCTTTTTAAAATTAAATTTTTAGAACTTAAATAAAATTCATTTTTTTTTTCTTTTTAGCAATAATTAATTAACTTAGTTCGGAGTTATTTTAAGAAATTAGTTAATATAGTTGTAGAGTTCATATATAATAGGTAAACTCATAGCTATAAAATTAGACAATTAAGCTTGATGGTGCATAATTTTCCTAATATTAATATTTAAGTAATTAGTAAATAGGATGTTTTATAAATGGCTTAAAAATTACAGGTATTCCTTCTTAATCAGCTATTATGAATTTACAGCTTTATGGAATGAAAGCAGCAAATAAATCTAATTAATTTACGGATATTAATGATATCTAAATAAAAATTTAATTTAGAAGTTGCCAAACTGGTGAATACTATAATAAAATTTGCTAAAACTGTCTTTTGTAAGAATGTGTTTAATGTATGAATGGAACATACTCTTTAATTTATCCTTTTGAAGATAAAAAAATTGAATGCAAAAGTTGTGATATGTCTAAATCATACTCTTGTTACTCAGATTAAATAATTTTGAGAGAAAATTATTGGTAACTTACTTTTATATATATTATAATGACAGTTTTTTTTAGAATTATTTTTAAATTATTTTTCAAAAAAAAGTTTAAAATTATTTTAAAATTTAACCATTAAAAAATGTTTAAAACATTAAAAAATTTTAAATAATATAATTAAATTTATATAAAATAGGAGAATAAATAATCATTCTGATTTGATTTATGAGTGTAATTAAGTTACCAATTCTTGTAATGGAGATTCTTAGAAAGGATATTGTGCAGATGGGTTTGTTGGTGCTTTATGTTCTTCTTGTGATGCATATGGCAAAGTATGGGGATAACCTTATTAATTTGATAATTATTCTATTAAAAACGGAGTATAATGTATAAAGTGCTCATAATATTCCTCTATATTATTAAAAGAACTGTTTGCATTCACAATAATTTCAATTTATTTGATTGTATTGATTATTTAGTCATAAGATAGCAACTGTAAAGTATGCTTAATGAGGATCTTGTAATCTCTTGATCTGCTTTATGTAGGTGTCTCATCATTTTTATCTGATAACTAGGTTATATCTAAAATATTTATTAACTAATTCTAGATACTTTCAACTTTAAAATATAGCTTAAGGATAAATATATCTTAAGTTTTCTCTAATTTTTTAACGATCCCTTAATCTGCATCTCAGCCTATCAATGTTTTTACTTACTCATTTGACTGCATTTTAAGCTAAATAAAAATAAATATACCTATACAATATAAAAGGTTCATAAATATCTCTTTGGTGCTCCCTTTAATTTTCATTATTTCTTTTTTTATTTTTGTATACTTAATACTTTAAGGTATTAAGTGTTTAATTCCAAAGCAATACTTCTTTTACAAAACTAAGTACTTAAGATTGAATGTTCTGATAAGTGCCTTAATTGTACTAACCTATATAGCATCTTAAAATATTTATTAGGCAGCACTTGAAAATATATTTTGTGATAAATACAGCAATGTTTATTATATGAAGAGCTAAATGGATGAAATATGCTACACCTAAGAACACTATTATTATATTTTTTTCCTAATAGGTCCAGTTTTATTCGTAGTATCAGTAGTCTACCCAATTACAATGCTTATAATATTGTATCGAAATAGATTTAAATTATTTGATTCAAAGCAAAAATCTATTAATTTAATTAGAAGATATGGATATTTATTCAAAGGTTTTAAAAAGGATAGATGGTGGTGGGAGATACTTAAAACCTGGTATAAATTTTTAATTACCTTTATGGCAACTCTTTACAGATCATAACCTTTACCTTAAATATTGAGCATTATCTTTCTCTAAATGATATATCTTTACTTACTTATGAAATATTAACCCTATCAGCATTATAAAATTAATTTATTAGAAAAAAGATCTGTAATTTATACTCTACTAATATTTTAGATATCTATAGTGTACCTTTATAACTCAGATGGAATCTTATCTATTTTTTCATAAATTGGATTGATAATTCTTTTAGTCATTTTGTTAGGTAAATTTTATATTTTAATTTTCATCAGTTAACTATTTTTAAAATAGGGAGATTAATTTTAAGCTTTATAGAAGTTCATTCAAGAGTACATTTTTATGCTATTGGTAAAATAGGCTGCTTACGTAGTATTTGTAAATACTTGAGAAACCATCTTTAAGGAGAGAAGTGTAAGTTTTGGATAAAAAATTATTTATTCAATAATTTTTGGGGCTTATACAATATGCTGTATATAGAAAATTATGATCCTTACAGAGTCTTTGGCAAGTATTTAATATTTACATTAAAACAATCTTTTAATTAAAGTACTGTTTTATTATTTTTACTTATTTTTTTAACTTAAAGTTGGAAAAAACTGAGATTGCTTTTCAAAAATGGAAATATTAAGTTAACAAGAGTCAATAATACATCTTTAACATAATAAAGAAGTAATAAGAAGACATTCTAAAATTAAACTATAAATCAAAATTCTAGTTAGACTTATAATCTGTCTAATTATAAAAGAATAAGTTTAAATAATTCTATTTATTCCCCTAAAATTTTATAAGAAAGAGATAATTCAATATCTCCTATAACATAAAATACTGATTACTTCCAATTTAGTAATTATTCAAAGTAATCTTTTAAAACTTTTACTTTTTAAGGCTTATTTACCCCTAAAAAAATTAATAGTCCTATTAATTCTAAATGTGTTTTATAAGCTAAAAATTCAGAAAAAGATAATTAGGCTCCATGTGTCGTATTTTAAAATACTAATCCTTTAAAATAAATAAAAAAATAAAGGAGTACTTACTTAAATACTGAGTGTCAAAGCATTTTTTCTCCAAAAAGAAACTCAGTTAATTAATAAAATATTTTAAATTAATTTTAATTTGAATAAGATTATTCAAAATCTCCTATATCTAAAATTACTAGTCCTTCCCAATAATTAAATGGATCAAATTGTAATTTCAAAAAATAATAAAATGAATTACAAAAATTAAACATAAATTCTAAAAATATTAAAAAAATTCGTTAATTAGAATCATATTCATCATTTTCTGCAATAAATTAAAATTCTAATTTATTCTAATCAGTAAATCAATAATTTTTTTAACCTTAATATTCTAATACTCCATAAACAAAAGATGCCAATACTAATTAAAATTGATAAACTTATAAATAAAAATGATATTCTATTTATTAGTATTTTAAAATCAAATTTAATAAAAAAAGAGGAAAGATTTAATAATATAATCTAAAATAAATGTATTGAATTATAATTTATAGTGTTTAAATATTATTATATATAAAAGTATTTATTTTATTTGTGTTTTTTTTGAGTATTAGTTTCTGATAAATTACTAATTTTTATTGTAATAAAACTTTATTATTCACGGATAAGCTATAAACTAAATTAATGTAATAATAAAAAATTATTAGATTTATTAATTTAAGCCTTTTTTTATTTTTTAAAATAAAATTTATAAAATAAAATTACCTGATTTATTTTTTAATAGTTTTATTAAAATAATATTAAATTTTTTATTTTTTATAATTTTAGTTGAAATCAAATAAAAATATTAAAATTCACTTAATTTTCTAGAAGCTTTTAAAAATTTCAAGATACTCTTTATAAAAAAATAATAAACCAAATTAAAAAAAATAATTTATTTTAAAAACAAAATAAATTAATATAAATCACTCACTATATTTTTTCTTAATCTGTAAAATATTTAAAATTTAAATTACTCTATTTAAATTGCTCATTTATGTCTTAAAGGGATTTTACTTTTTATTCTTCTTAAATTGAATCCTCTTATAAGTTTTGATCATAATTTTGCTAATTTTAAATATCTTTTACAGATTATTACTATATTTAAGTATTATATAATCTATTTTAATTACTTTGACTAAATTAACTTTTTTATTGATCTATTTCTAATGAAATTTAATTTAAATTATTTTCTTCTATAATTTTCTCTTCTTCTTAGTTTAGAGTAGACTTCTAATCCTAATTTGATTAATTGTTTCTTTTAAGAATAGCCCCAAATATATTTTAATTTTAATCTTGGGTTGATATTATATAAGTTTATTAAAGCTCGTCCTACTAATTATTTTAGTAATTTATCAGGATTTAATTCTAATTAAAAGAGTTATTTATACTATTTTAATTGGATTATTGATTTAAGGTATCAAATCTTGTTTAGTTTTTTGGATCAAATTACATCTAATTAAAAACAGTTGATTAGTCAAATATACCATCTTTTATCTTATTTTCATACTTATCTGAATACTAATCAGTACGATTAGAAATATACTTTCCTAATCTTTTGGTATTAGATGGCTGTTCATCTGTTTAATTATATTTATTAAACGTTTATGTAGTACTATCTAACAGTTAATTTCTTTAAATAGGAGTAGTTAAGTACGATATGTCGCTTTTTATTCTATTACTCTATATCCTAGATTGCTAAAAAAAATCTTCTGTTGCTATACTATCACATAGCTTGTTAGGATTATTATTGCTTTAATTTTATTCTTAATATTCATAAACTACTTGTAACATAAATTATTAAATCACTTATAAATCCTAGTCTATGATTCTTATTAGAATATTTTCTTCATCCTATGATTAAGGAGTACCTTGTAATACTAAACCTCCTTTTTTGTATTCAACCTATAGCCAACTAGGTAAATTTTAGCTTTTAGAAACTCCATAGCTTGTGTATTCAAAATTTAATGCCTTTCTTATTCCTGTACACCATGTATTTTCAACTTTTTTAAAAGCTTAAATAGACTAAATTTCATATTAAAATAGATGTACTGACTCTCCTTCTGAAGGAAAAAAAATAGAAGGAGTTTATTCAATTAATCCTTTAGCATCAGCTGATAACACTTCTTTAATCAAAAGATGGTTGATACCTTAATTCTTAATTGATTCAAAAGACTACCCAATTTCATTATGCAATTGTAAATCAATTAAAATTAAATTTAGCTGCTATTCATTAAGCTTAAATGAAGAAAAGGGGATCGGTAAACCATAACAATCTTTATCTTCAGTAGGTGTAATTTAAATAACACTTTTATACCAATCATTTTTTGTGTAATTATGATATTTTAAGGCATAATACTTAATATAGCTGTAAACTTAATATGAGGCTGTGTCTAGTTTTAGGAAATATCTCGCTGCTATAGCTTTTATCCCTTTGAATATCAAGGAATCTGGATTTTTAAAATCAGATACCATGTTTTAAGCACAATATTTCTTCCCTTTTAGATTGAAAGATATATTTTTATGTTTAATGTCTCTAATGATTTTCAAAATATTTATATCACCATCTTTTTTGATATATTATTTTTCTAGAAAGGTTTTGCGTATGTGCTTGCTTGACATTTAGATTATGCAAATTGACTTTTTAAGAAATTCATCATTTTTTGATCCAAATTCTGTGATTACTTTAAGTCTTCGAGGAGTATTAAGATTTTTCTTTGTTTAACCGTCAATAAAGCTTAACATATTTTGTTCTTTATCAGGTTATTAAGTTTCTTTCTCTAATTCATGATTATAAAATTTCTCTATTTCATTGAACTAATCTTGATTATATTCAAACTATTTAACAAATTCTTTAAATAGCAACTAACTTTTCTCCAATTAATCTCCACAGAGAGTTATTTTTTTAAAATAAAATTTTCCTATAATTGCTATTTCATCTGAATAAGTGACATAATTTTAAAATAACAAATTTATCACATAGCTTTTGTATTTATACAAACCAAATATTGCAAAGACTGGTCCTAAAATTTTAATTAATAAATCAAAAATTAAAATAAATGGCAAACCATAAGCGTTTATTTAAAAGATATCACTATCTTGTGTATATCCATCAGATGCAACTATTTTTATGTAAAATGTTTGCCTGTAAGCAGATGCTGGAGGTATTCCGCTTATGCTAATTTATTCAGAAATATCTTAAAATTAAATCCAATCCTCTGTATTTAGCTGTCTGAATTATTATCCCTCCAATAAAAAAGCTTAGTAAGAAATAGATTGAACATCGTTTACAATAAAAGAGTTTTTTGCAAAGTTTATTGAAAAAAAAGTTAAAATATCTATTTAAGCCTAAGGATACTATTTATTAAATTATTATTGCAAAGAGTTTAGAGGATTTTTTGTAATTAATTGCTTTTATTTGATAAAAACGCATTATTAAATTAAATAGTCTTGAACGACATCATAATTTACACCATCTATCAAGGTGATTGTTACATTTATTGCTTTCAAATCAGTAAAATTCGCAAATATAATTTTTTTTGAAAGTACGCTATTCAAATTTACTAAGGATCCTTCTAATTTTATTTAGTTTTACGAATCATTTGTTGATGCAATCACTCCATTAAAATCTCCTATTACAAACTTACCATCTTAAGTATTCACCATTAAGTAAAGTTGTATGCTTTGGGAAAGTGTTTGAATCGGATTATTTAGATTTGTAATATCGATAGAAAGTGATGGCTCAATATAGAAGATTACAGGGTTGATGTTAATGCTTTGTTAAAGAACTAACTAAGTCATTTAATAAAGCCTGGTAGTGCAATTTATTGTGTTTATTTCGAAAAAAAGAGATTTTTAAGGATCAAACAACTCAGTTACATACCCAACAGAATCAATTAAATTGATATTTTGAAGTGTAGAAAAGATCATCTAAGCTTCGCTAGGTGTTGTTTGAACATCTGTAGAGTTAAATTAGAAAGATTCAGGCGAAAGAGGAGTTATCACCTTCAACAAGATAGTGTTTAAATTTGGAATGTTGATATTTTTTGAGCTAAGTCCACTTTTATCAACTGTAATCTAAAGAATTCCACTATTTTAATTATAATTCATCCAAAAAGGAAGAGGGTTATTTTAAAAATCAAAGTAATAGCTAACACTAACGATTTAAACTCCATTAACAGGATATATGAAAACAAATTTTAGTTAAATAAATTGCCCGACTTTTAAATGTTGATCTTTCGAAACTGGATTCAGTAATTAGCTACCATCTATTTACAGGGTGATCTGCTCAATTTCAGTATGGATTAAAACTTAACTATTTAATGGAAGCACAACAGTCCCAAATTAGTTATTTAAAAATGAATATTTATTATTGGAAGATAGGCAAAGGGACTAAGCAGATTAATCTTAATATTAATAAGCTGATAGTATCTAGGGATCTTCTTTATCAGAGATGTCAATTAGAGTCAACATTTGATTTTCCATGACTACAGTCAATAAAAAAGTATCCTACTGAAGTGAAAGTAAATGATTTACCCATCCTGTTAGAGGAATCCTACTCAAAATTTTGATTTGAGGTAATACAGTTAGGTCTAAGATAGCTACTCCTTTAAATCCATCTAGTAAGAATGCGTAATTATTAGAATAATTAGAACAAATAATACCTTCAGCTCCTAAAGTTTATAAAGTACTTTTAAAGATTAAATTTGTTTTGACAGTAGCATCTAAAACATAGAGACCATAATTTCTAACTGTCCCTATTATGTATCGATTATCGTTTGTGATCATAACTCCTGCATTTTCGCCTGTCATAAAAGGTAAGATGTTCCAAGAAGCCAGAAGAGCTAAAGTTGGAGGTTTTGAAGAATCAAAAAGTAGAATACCTATATCGTTTGAACTTACTAAGTAATTTTAATCTTGAGAAAACATTATAGATTCTTCATGGTTTTAGTTATTTATATTCAGTCTAAATACTTCAAAAGGCTATGTGATATTTTAAATATCATAGACAATAAATGAAGTATTATTATCTTCAATAGGAACATAAAGATATTTTTTATCTTATGTAATAACCATGCTATCTACTAGTGTAAGTGGGCCAAACTGCTAGCTATAAATTTAAATTAAATTATATGGATCATCAGCATTAAAAATATAAAAACCATTTAAATCAAATGAACCGAAATAATAATCTAATCCGTTAATTTCTCTAGTTATGCACCTCCATTTATACATAGCAGTTGTTGTATTTAATAATGTTGCTTATTGTACATTAAATAAGTTAGGGTAATTATTATTAAGGTTTGCTGAATGACGCTCAAATACATAAATACTAAGGGCATTTGCGTAGTATAAGTATTATTCATTAGGAGATAAATTAACAGATAGCGATTAGCCTGGCACTGGAATTTGTTAGAAAATAGAAGGATTAAGTCTGTCCTCAATATTAAATAGATATACTCCTTCAGATCTAAAGCCAATTAACAAATATTTATTGTCTTTTGTTAATTTGAGAGTATATATTAAGTTTATTGAATGAAAAGGCCAATATTTGATAAAGTTTACATTTACTGGATATAAAGCCTATGAAGCTAAAGTGACCTAGCGGAAATCGCAAATATAAATTCCAAACCAATTATCAAGACCATAGACATATTGTAAGTCATCAGTAACTACAACAGCCCATGTTTTCCAGTTCATGATACCCTAACCAGCAAGTGTAAAATCAATAGAATGATCATTTTGATTGATAGACAATTGTAAGGCAGCCATACCAAGAACATCATTTCCTAAAAGTATCCACTAATCATCTTTGGAGATGTAAATTTAATGTATAATATTAGATTAAGAATTAAATTACCCAACTATCTAGACTTATTTTTTTTGAGATATATCATAAGCAATAAGATATCCACCTAGACCAACAGCAAAAACAGTATCTTCTTTATTATTAATAGACATATCGATTATAGAAGTAGGAAAATTGGCTTAGCTGAGTAAAATTAGACTTCTTCTGTTCTAGAATTAAAACACACTGAATTGAGATTCATAAGAAAACATAACATATTCTCCATCAGATGTTGCTTCTATTGAGAAAAGAAATTCTTTAGCCTTCATTTAGAATATTATTTCATTACTTAAACCATCTAAAACGATAACTCCTTACCCACCAGCTGAAACAAATACTAAATTAGCCTTTTCAGCAACTTTTATTTTAGTAGTAGCACCTTATTAATCTATAATATCATACTTAAACAAGGGCAAAGGAGAATATACAAAATCCACGTTGAAGCATGATACCATGGCTATGTAAAACAGTATTAGTAAAGCGTTAACTAAAAAAAAGCATCCCATTTTGATAACTTTTGAGCAAAAAAATAGTAAATTAGTTTGAAGCTAATTAAAATATTGAGTGTTCAATTAAGAAAGTAGGAGTTTTGTTATTAATTATTTTGAAAACTCTTAAAAATACAAATTAATGTTTGTTTGGTTATTTATTTATTATAATTTTTAGTAATATATGTAAATTAATAACTTCTTTGATTTATACATTATTAAGTTAATTTATACATTTGAAAAAATTAGCAGACTTTACAGACATACTTATATGTATTTAAATGTAATTTATAAAATAAAAATATAACATTAAAGAGATTTATTTTTTGTTATATTTTATGTATTTGTTTTTTTTTAATTTTTTATTTTCACCTCCTAAATTCTTAGGTTTTTAGAAATAGGTTTCTTCAATATAATTTATATTTATATTGAATAAATAAATTTTATTACTAACTAACTAAACATTATTGGTTGAAAAAATACTATCAGTCATTGCTTGAAATTCCTTCATTTTGTATGAATAAAAAGAATTATATCTATGTGATTTATCATTTTCAGAATAAATAATATGTAAATATTATCTTTAACTAAGAATATTTTAGAATGAAATTATTTTATAAAGAATAACTAACTTATCTTTTAATTTTTGTTATAGTATTATTTTATTTGACAAATTTTATATAATATTTTATCTTCAAATCATTTATCTAATAAAAAGAAGATTTAAATTATTTTTGCTTAACTTAATACTTTTTTTAAGTATCGCAACAAGAAGATTTTAGTTTCTTAATTTAGTTTTAAGATTAACTTTTCGAAATTATTTTATTAAAAAAACCAAAAAAAAATATATATTTTACTGTTTAGAATATAATGAATGTAATAATTTCTTTAAAATAATTATAAAAAGTAAAGTTTACAAAAATAATTCTAGAGAAACAAGAAGACCAAGAAAATATTTAACTTAATAATTGATTTAATTTATTGAATGACGAATTAAATATTTAATATTTTTAGCATATTTAGAAACATATTTATTATCTAGCTTTAGCTATGTGAATCTACTTTTATTTAATAAAAATATGAAAAACTAAAGTTTTTTTTATTTAAAATTTCAGCAAGATTACTTTTCTATTTTAAAAAGATATACTGTGATATTTTTACTTAAATATAATAATTTATTGAGAAAATTTTTCTGGGTCTTTAATAGATTACATTAATTTAAAGGGTTATATTATAAAAATTTTTTAAATAGAGTAAGTAATACATTTTACAAAAAGAATATATATTTAAACAAAACAAAATAATCTTTCTAGATACGTTTAATTAAATTAACAAAGTATGCTTGGCTGTTTAAATGTGTAAAATAACATATTCTTTAAATAGAATAAATTATTTTTTCAAATCCATAATAGTTATAATTTGGAAGAATTTACTAAAGCTAAATTATTTCCTAATCAATAAATGAAAACTCGCAGAAGAATTTTGAATTGCTATTAAAATTAATCAACTTTTATTAAGTTTCTATTCTTTTGTGAGTAAATAAAATTGATAATTTTAATTAAGTGATAATTTAAAAACTGACTTTTTCTCATATAAATAATGATAATTTTTTTGATTTTTAAAATGAAAAAGAATTAATTTAAAGGAAGTTTTTATTTATCGTAATTGATTTAAAGTTTTTATAATGAGTTTAAAAAAATATATATTATCGGTTTAGTAAGTCTGAAAAAAATTAAAAAAATTCTGACAGTAATTTTTTTTAAATTTCTAAAATTACAAAAGACTTTTTTGAGAAATGATTTGAAAATGATTAGATTTTTATTAAGTTAGTTTATTAATAACGTTTAATTTTATTTATTTTTAACAGGATTAAATTTAAAGTACAATACCTAATATATGATGATCCATTTCTAAAATTAAATAGATATTAGTTTAGACTTGATATTAGTAAGATTTTTGAATATATAAGGAAATAAAGAAGGATATATAGAATTGTCAGAATTGCTTATATGAAAGTTAATTATATAATTTTCAATAAAGGTTACTAAATTAATCTAAATGTAAAAAATTGAATTAATATATGAGCCAATTAAATTAGGAAAGTAAATTATAGAGAAAATTGATAAAGAATTTATAGAGACGCTGATTAAAAAATTTATGGGATTAATATAATTTGTATAGGGTTAAGTATAGATTTTTGATTTACAATTACTAATATTTAATTGTGAAAGTATTACAAAATCTGATTTAAAATAATGAATAAGTTAGTATTAATTAGTATTTTAATGCTCATTTTAATCTAAATTTTCTTTGAAAAGCTTTTATCACAAAAATGAAATTTAATAAAAAAACTTGCTTTGGGAATGAATAAAATACTGATTCATTTTTTAGCCACAAAGCTAAAAATTTAGATAATTAAAAAAGTAAAAAAAAAAAAAAAGGAAATAATTGAAAGTAGTAAAAAAATAAATAACATATCATCATTATTATTTACTATAAAAAGAAAAAACAGATATAACATATTTTTATAATTAATTATTTAATCAATTATATCAAATTTATAAAATTAATTGATAAAAATAATAAAATCATCTCAGCCTATCAATCTAAATATCTATTTATCTATATTTCAGCCTTCTTAATAAGCACAGCATTATGCTTTAAAACTAATTTCTTTACCTCTAAGAAGAACTAATGAGCACATTACCGCAAGTTAAAGAGAAGGGCAAATGTCCTGCTCGCCAAAAAAATCTTCGTTTAATCACTGGTAAACATCCACAGCATCTAGCCTAAAGAAATACAAATAGTTAAGTAGACTCTGAGGGCTTCAACCCTCCACCTGTGCTTAATTAAAAAACTATCCTCAAGTAGAGAAATCTCTTGAACTCACTTTCTAAAGATGAATTAACTATTAACAATATAGCATCTTCAGCATCTACTGATGAAACATATACCACTCCAATAGCTAATGACGACATGGGCGAAAGCTGTTTGTCAGACAAAGTATAGCCAATTAATGAAGATGACGTCTTAGAAGCAAGAATTCATAAGTGGTTGGACGAATAGCATATTTATATTACTGATCCAAGGGATAAGAGGGATAAATATTACTAAAAACTGAAGACAATTTCTTGTAAAATTTCATAAATACAATCTTCAATCTATCTATTAGGCGAAGATGAAAAAACAAATGCTACAATAAGCGAAAATATATTTAGTTCTAACAATTTGACTAACTTGACTTGCTTAACAAATTCTACTATCCCTAATATGGCTACATATCATGATATTTCTATGAATTTAAGTTTAAAAAAAATTGAAAACTCTCCGCTTTTACTTCGCAGAGGAAATAAAGATAAAAAAGGAGAGAAGGATGAATAAGTTCCAGTTACTTTAAAATCTATGAATAATTGTTATTTAGTCAAATCGCCTACTAACAAAAAGCAGACTAAAAATCCTAGCATTTTCAGAGCTTCAGAACCAAACATAAAAAAAGAAACTACAATCCAAAATATAGACACAGTTGCATTCACATTTAATGAGCTTGAAGAAAATGAAAAAAAAAATTCTGGGAGTATTTAAGAATTGAGTTAACTCTCAATTGATATGCATGATTCTGTCACTATTGTTTCAGACAGCATTTTTAATTAAAAAATTTGAACAATATTAATGAAAATTAATTTTTCAATGATTAATAGAAATAATTGAAATTAATTAATCTATTTATTTAAATACCATTCAATAAAAAAATAGCTATTAAAAACCATAAGATAGTTTCGATATGAATTCAATTCTTAGCCTACCAACAATTCGAACTGATTGCTACCTACAAAGCAATAATAGTCCAACAAAAATATCAAGAAAACATAATTTGATCATCAAATAATTTAAAAAAAATAGTAGCCAATAATTAACTAATAATCAAATATTTATAATCACAATAAATAAGCTTCTATCTTAAACCTTTTCACCAAATTACACTTTTGAATAACTAAATAATTATATAAACTTATCAAAAATTAATAAAATCTAAGATGTTACAGCAAAAAAATCTATCTTACAAAAATAAGAAAGTTGTATAAAAATATTAAAATAATTAAAAAATTGTTATTTAACAAACTAATTTCAAATATCCATTACTTATATTTATGTATGTATAACGTTATAATATTCTAAAGTATACTACACTAACACTTAATAAAGATAAAAATTAACTACTTAACATTCCAAAAAAAATGTAATCACTTTGATATAATTTAAAAATTTGAGTAAAGACACAATTACCAAATCTCTTTGCGAATCTATTTTTTCTATTTATAAATTTCGAAAATTGATTGTTATTTGATAAGTTAATTTATTTGTATTCATCAATTTTTCATTAATTTAATTAAATATTATTCAGACCATACAATTTCAAACTACTAATAATCATAAGTCAATCTTTTGTAACATTCAAGAATAAGAATCAATTCTATCTCGAACTATTTATCATATGATTATTTTAGCCTTTCCTTAAAATTTTTTTTGATTTAAGCTTTTAAAGATGAAATAACTTCATAAAATTTAGTAAAATATGAAATATAACTAAATGTAATTTTTCTTCTTTTTTGTTAAATTTATATATATTTTTACATTTTATTTCAAAAACATTATTTTAAATAATTTTTGGGTATTATTTTAAAAAGGGAAAAAATTAAAAATATGATGAAAAAGTTAAAAACTAAAAATAATTTTATTTCAATTCTACTTATTTAAACTTACTTACTTATTTAAATATTACTTTCCGTTTAGAACTATTTTTAATGATCTGAAAACTGTTCATTATTTTAAAATTTTTTGATATTAGTTCTGTCTATTAATAAATAGAAATTCTGCCCAGTACAAAACTCCTTGGTCTTATTGCAAATTTTTTAAAAAATATGTGATTTATGGTAAATGCATTACAATCTATGATTTTTTTTTAGTTTTTTATATAAAAATTAGTAACCATATTAAATAAAATGATATTAATCCAAAAATTTATTTTTTTTATTTTTTTTCTATATGCTGAAAGTATTTTTTTTGTATTTTTAAGCATTTAAAATAGATAAATATCAAATAATTCAATAAAAACGAATTGCTTCGTATGAAGAAAAACCTTAGTCTTATATTTTTTAAAATTAAAGAATTTGTATTTGTAGATCATAAATACAATCAGTAAATTTTAAATAAATTTAAGGCTCAGTATTTTAAATTATTTTCCCTATCTTGAAAAATATTCATTTGCTTCGTAACTAAATTGATTAATACGAACTTAAAAAACTTCTAACACTGATAAATTTTAAAATCTTCTATTTTGAAAATAAAATACACTAGCTTGATTTTAAATAAGATCTATTCACAAATTTTAATTACAGTTTAAGTTCTATTTAAATGGTAAAAAAATTCATTCTTATTTATTTTCTTTTGAAAAAATACAAAATTTTTATTATAAAAATGTATTTTTTTTATTATCATACTTTAGTATTAAAATTATATTTAGATTAGCAAAGTTACACCAAAAACTATCTTGAAAAAATACAGTTAAAAAATTAAAGATAGTAACTAAAATCATAATATATTTTTTTATTCTTTCATAAAATGATATTAACTATTAATTTATTTTATATCACATTCATTATTTAATATAGCAAATGAGACCAATTGTGAGCATGATGGTTGTTACAACAAATAATCCAAACTAAAAATACATTTATATTATTCTTGTTGAATTTTCCAGAGCTAATTATAAATAATTAAATTAATAGCTAGAGATATTCCAAAAAATATACAATTAAATCAAATAATAAACTAATCAGTTTATGTAAAATAAAAAATAATTTCTTTTTTAATGACTATGAATATAATTTCTATTTTTAAAATTGTAATTTAAATTGAAAATAAAAATGGTTTATTCAGTAAAAATCAGTAAAAAAATAGTTAATATAAAGCATTGTACTATTTATGTTTTTATAAATTCAAAAGAATACAAATAACTTAAACAAAACTATTTGTAGTTTTTCTAATGAGTTTATACCCTAAAATAATGAACGAACATATTTTTATTGATGAATTTAAGAATAAAAAACAAGATACCAATAGAGAAAAGTTTGTTTATTTTTTTGTTTGTTTGTTTCTTTGTTTGTTTGATTGATTGATTTTTTGATATCATAGAGTTATTTAATTAGTGAGTAATTAACTTAGTTCGTTAGTGGATAGATTTGGAATGAATGAATTTTAAGTATTTCAATTTAAAAAGAAATAAATAGAAGTAAATGAAAATACTTTATATAAAGACATTTGGTCTTCAAATAGTAGAATATATTTAAAAGGTTTACTGATTTTAGGGTACATAGTTTTATTAATTTATTCATCTTAAGTTTAGATTAAATATCTTAGCATCAAAATAATTATTCTCCAAATATAGCATGAAATCTACTTGTTTTTAACAAGAAGATATCTAGGAAAACAATATTTTATATTAGTTCATTACTTAATCAAATTAAATAATATTATTTTATAATTATATAGATCAGAGCCAAAGAACTTCTTGTTTAGCTTTGCATTTTTTAATTGCTGCTGTTTTGTATTCTACTTTTGCGTTTTAAATGTAAATAAAATATGTTGTCAGAAATTGACTATTTCTTATCACAATAATCATTAAATAATGAGGATTTACGTGATAAATATTAAAAATAAATATTTTAACTCAAAATCTCATTTTTCATTTGAATAAAATAATTAATAGTTTCAAAAAGAACCTAATTTTGCTTAAATTTTAATAACATTAATCTTGCATCTATTTTGCGATTATCTTTTATTTAAGGCTTCTACAACTGATCCAGGAATAATACCTAAAAATGTAATAGTTAGCTAAATTCAAGCAAAAGTATTTATTTATTTTTTCAAAATGGTTTAAAAAAGGTCTATTGCTGCTCAACTGATAAAGAATTGCTTGATATTCCATAAATTCCTTCATCAGGGGTCGGCTCAAATAAAATAATAGCCTCTAATTTAGCAATATAAACCTCTTATCTAAGAATTAAAATTTGCCGCACCTGTGGTAAAACTTGTTTTTAACTCTTTCTATTTCTATAAATTTTATTTAAACAGGCGTGCACAGACCTCCAAGATCTATGCATTGTGCTTTTTGCAATAACTGTGTTGAAAACTTCGATCATCACTGCCCGTGGTTAGGTGAAATTAATATAACAGTTTAGTTTGATTAAATAATTTTTTTTGAATAAATTTTATAAACCAAAATGTTTTAATTTTGAAAATTCAATTAGATTTAGTTAAATATTCATGTTAGTTATTCAAGAAATTAAAAATATCTATACTTAATGAAGAAAAATATATTAATTAATCAGATTTATTTAATATTTTGTTAATTTTTTCAATTATTTATTCTTTAGCTTATTTTAATATTATATTTTTTCATTATTTAAAGGAACTTGTATAGGTAAACGTAATTACAAGTATTTTTTTGGGTTTATCACATTTCTTTTGATGATGATCATAAACTTTATAGTAAGTTGCTTTATATATTACGATCTTTAAATATCAGAGATAAAAGGGAAAGATGAAACTGCTTCATTAAACTACGCTTTTACTAAATCGCTAAAGTCTAATCCTATTCCATTAATTCTTGGAATTGTGGCATTGATAGTAAATTTTAACTTAAATAATCATGATATTAAGTTTTTTTAAATAGGCAGTTTGGTTTATTCTTGCTCTCTGGCTATATCATGTCAACTTATGCATACTAAATTCAACCACAACAGAGAGACTAAAAAAAATATATCTAAGTTTTCATAACCCTTTTTAGATATAAAACTTATTAAAGTATTACATTAAGTGTTTAGTGAGAGGCACTATCAAATCTAAGTTATCTCCGATGGCTTCAGTCTATTCTTAGAGTATTTTATATTAAGATTATTAAAAATATTTACTATTTTAAATTAAATAATATTTTTAGTAAGTACTACTGAATATTCAAAAATGGCTTAGAGTCACAAATTTATAGGGAAAAAATTTATCATGCCATTAAAAAAAGATAGTGAGGAGGATGTCAAAGAAAATGATAAATCTAAATCTGTAAAGTTGTAGCCTGAAGATGAGCTATAATATTAAGAACATGAGAGAAGTAAAGTAATGTGCAGGTCTGAGTATGATTAACCAAACTAGTAATCTTAGTATTAAAATTCTCAAAAAAGGTATTCTTAAATAATAAGGATAAATTCTAACCCAGCCATTCATCAGACAGATTAGTCTCAAAAATCGATTGCCTAAATTGGAAATCAAGAAAAGAAGTCGTAACCAAGCACTTCAAACATACATAAGGAAGAAGGTAATTCAGCGATGTCATCTATTAAACCCCCTTCGCCTAAAAAGACAAAGAGTATCTTCAAATATTCTCCTAATGCAAAGTCAGGAAACTTAAATCCTGAATTTCAAAAAGAAGATGAAAACTAAAACTAAAACTTGAACTTATCTAATCGTCGATTGCAAGATTTAAGTCCGAACAAATCAAATTTATAGATAAAAAATGAAGCTGTGCCCTCTAAGATTACTAAAGATTCAACCTTGAATACAAACGAATCTCATGCGTTTGAAGATTTTAATTTCGATATATAGAATTAAAATCTTCCTCAAAATAACAGCATGTATAACATTTAAAGCGAAGTTTTACCATAACTTACTGACATTCCTTTGCAGAAGATTTCTGATTTCTAATAAAATGCTCTCAGAAATCAAAATGAAGTATTTGATATGTTTGATGAAAAGGAAAAAATACCCGAAGAAATATACCCAAATATAAATTCGAATCATTAATTTTACAATAATTAATTCCAAACACCGTCTCCAGATTAAATTAATTACAAAGAAAGAGAAGAAGCATTAACAAAAAAATAGATACAGCCTTTTAATTAAAACTAAAGTCATCAGGTCTAGCAATAATAAGCAGAATTTTCTTATTCAAAGAATGTTATCCAATCTAGACAAATCAGCTTAAATGAATATTCATTTAATTAGCTCCATCCTAAAACAAAAAACCAAATTGATGTAATCTAATCTAGTAAAATCAATTAAGGAACTCCAATCTAAAATTAAGATGTTTACTGTGAGAGCAATAAATTACAAGCAAAAGGACTAAATTTGGAAAACGAATTCAAAAATTTAGAATTCTCTGAAGTTTAAATTAACCATGATTAAAAAGAGAAAAAGTCCAGAAAAGAGTAGTAACCAAATTAAAAAACCGAAAGCTTTTTGAGTAGCAAAGGAGGATAATAAAAATTTTCTTTACCTCAATATGATGAAATAAAATTTGAGTCTCTATAAAATTTAGAAGTAATGTCAAAAACAAGTGACGTAAAATAAGAATAAGTAAGCTAATAAATTTAAAAGTATAGTAAAACTATTAGTCTAGGCAGCAGCTAGAAGTAGGAAGAAAAAACAGCTTTTAATGATAATCTCTATTCATCTAACAATAAAAAGGCATCTCCTGCCCTTCATAATATAGGTGAGCCCTTTATTGCTTATTTCTAATCTATAGAAACAAATAATGGCGGCACACCTTAGTACATAAATTCAAGCAGAAAACTATCACCTGGATTCCATAATATGGCTTCAAACAGATTTAATTTTTCATCTGACCAGTCTCCTTTAAATAAAAAAAATAATCAAATAAATGAAAACATATAAGAAGTTTTTGAAGTAAATTCATAGAGTAATTAAATAACATAAAAAGACACTCAAAAAATTTAATTATAAATTCAATGAATTTGAATCGAGAGTTACAAATAATTAAAAGAAAACGTAATATTCACAAGAATATCATAATTTATAGACCAGATAGATAGTTAAAAATTAGATATATAAATTTATAGAAAATAAGAATCTAAGGATAAACAAAAGAGCAACGTGAATTAGAAAATTTAAGGTTAATTAAATTTATCCTTAAGAATTATTAAAAATACCTAACTAATAGTCTAAATAATAAAGCATTTTAAGTTGAAATTATACCAATATAGCCAATATATGTATATTAATATTGATGAATTTCTTACTAAATTACAAAGATAAATTGATTAGTTCATTAAAATAAAAAAATTACTAACTTTTTTAACCAAAAAAATATTTATCAATTAAAAATATTGCAAGCTATTCCAATAAAATGTTAATATTTTAATGAAAGTACAACTTAATTACTTACTTATTTACCCAATCACTATAATTATAGATTTGAATATATATAAAAATGTATGTATATTTATTCCAATTATTATAAGTACTTGAACAAACAACACACACAATCAATAATATTCTTTTATTAATTTTATACAAAGTTTTAGGGAAAAACAAAGACTATTTTAATTTTGATTTTTCTTTTTGTAAATATCTATTTCATATTTCATAAATTAATAAATCTCTGAATTGAGTAAGAGTAAAAAAGATTTGTAATTATGTATTTATTCATTTATTTATTTATTTTTTCTAGTGAAAAATTCATTCAAGCATTTTATTTTTTAAATAGATAAATTAGGCAATTGTGTGATATGATGATTAAATTTTTATTGCTTTAGAAATGTTTGTCATTAATTCGTTATAAAACTTTAGATAGGATAATTTGTATGCATAAATAAATTGAATTGGTCCTAAGCATAAATATAAACAAAAATAAAAATTTGCTTTTGCGAAATACTTTACAATTTTAAAAATATAAAATTGTAGTTCAAAGCTATATCATCAAAATATGAATTACTCTTAGCATATCAAAATTTAATTTTGCTTAAAATTGAATATGTTTTTTAAATTTTTTGCTTTTTACTTTATTCCAAAGTGTAATAAATAGCTAAATTGCCACAATTTTAATACCTATCTATTTTTTTAAATCTTAGGTTGATAAATGTAAAGAAATTTTTTATGCATTCAATAATTTAACTTTCTTAATTAAAGTAGAATGTAATTAAATATTATTTTATATCAGTAAGTGAATGTCTCTTTCTCTTCGATCAATTATATTTAATGCTCGAAGGAAAATCTAATCATTTACTTGAATTAATTTGATTAATAGTACATACAATTAAAGTATTTATTTTTTCCTTTAATGGCTATTGGACATAAATAAAATATAAAAAAAATAGAGATCGATTGTAGCTGTTTTAATTGTCTTTTCGCATTTCATAACTGAAATAACTAAACTTTCTTTCTAGTGAAATAACAAATTTATTATTTTTCTAACTGAAAAAAAAAATTATAATTTAGATAATTTTTATCAGTAAAAACCTTATAAAACAAATTTCAGTTAGCACAAAAAATAAAAATGTTGTTAAAATCTCTCAAAAAATAAAAATTTAAAGAGTAATTTATAATATTGCTTTTTTAAGTTGTTTGATTGTTTGTTTTTTATTTGGTAAGGCGTTTATTTGTTTTTCCTTCTAGCCAAATCATTTGAGATAATTAATTAATTAATTAATTTACTTTTGGCTGGTCGACTTTTAGTTGAAGAAATAAATAAATAAATTAAAAAAAGAACTTTTCCAAATCAAATGAAGGAAGGGGTAATAAAAATGTAATTTTATACAATAACTCCTTATATATTTGAAATAAGAAAATTTACATAGTAATTCATATTAATTAATATTTTATACTTTATTTAAATGTATGGAAAATTTGTTTTTATAAATTTAATTTGTTACAATTACTCAAAAATGTTAGTGAATTTATTATATTTATTTATTTATGAGATAGATTTGTTTGTTTGTTTGTTTATTTTTATTCTATTTTTTAATACTTTATTTGTTATCTTAGATTATTGTATAAGATTTTAGCTAAATATTTTATTTTATTTTTTCCTATGTTAAGCTATTTATTTTTCAATATCTCTACAAGTGAGTATTGTATGTAATAGCTATTATATTCAGATTTTGATATTTTTAAAGAGATATTTCCTTTATTACTTATCCTTTAATAGTTATGAAAATTGTTTAATTTCTATTTATTACTTATTAAAGGTAAGTTAAAGCTGAAAAGGATACCATTAATTGTTGGCATATTTATGTTAAATGTATATATTTCCTACCTTCTTTTAATTGAATTATTAAATTGTAATCTAATGATTACTGCTTCTTTAAAAGTGTAAGATGTATTTATTATATATTTTAAGTAATTATCAAAACAATCAAACTGGTGGTAAAGTAAAAAAATATTTGACTCTTTAAGGAGTATATTTATTTTTCAACTATTTTAAAGTCGGTCTAATATCAGCAGGTTTTTATTTTATTAACTCTTTTAGAACAGGAATCAACTCTTTTAGAGCTGTATCGCTTGAATCAGAAAACCAAGACTTAATGTGTATCCCATTAGCAGGCTAGAGCCTAAAATTGTCAGCAACATTATCAACGATCAAAGATCTTGATAAGTCTCTACCTAATTTTGACAAGTCCTTTTATATTAAATTAAAAAATAAAAATTAAGTTTGTTAAGGTAGTAACTAAAATTAGATCATTCTTACTTTTATATAGTTATACTGTTTTGAAAAAGCATGCTGTCTGTAAAGTCTATGAGAAATGTATTTATTTTTATCAAATGAGTCAATTACCCTAATTAGTTTACAATAAATCAAATTAAAATCTAATCCCAAAATCAAAAAAATTTTAATCAAGTATTACCAATTTGCATAATTCTCCATTCCAACTGTAAAGATAACAATTTCATAAATTTTACTCATTTCTTTTAAAAACATCTCTAAGAATGGTCTCATCAAGAAATGACCTCCGACAGGTGTCTTTAAAAAGTTTAAAAAGTATTATTTTTTAAAAATATGTAAAATTTATTCATCAAAGCTTAGCTGCATGTAAAGATATTTGTTAAATTTTAAAAAAAGAATAATTTTTGTAAGAATTTTTTTTTTACATCTACAAAATGTATGAGAGTTTCGTCTAAATCCAACACCAGTGTATAAACGTTATCATTCTTAGCAGGAGGCAGAAAAGGTCCTTCAAATTCTTCCTAAGTAGCTAGCTATCGATTAAGTTCATAATTGTTTATCTGCGATAATAAAAAATATAATATTAAAATTTGAATCTAAAAAAAACAATTTTTATGTGTAACTTTACCTTTTTTGCAAAGAATTCAAGTAAATTTGTTATTAAAACCTATGTAGAGCTCTTTTCTAAATCTTTAAAAATATCATTTACCAATTTCTTTAAATCAGGATAGATTTCAATTCTAATTTGTATTTTTAAAAAGTAAAGTCAGAATAAAATAACCAAACATTTTATAAACAAAAAATTAGAATATTTACACTGGACCTATCAATGAAACCCCTTTGCCAAAGTTGTTTTACAAAAATAATACTGAGTTTTAAGGAGGAATGGAAGGTCTTCTAGCTTATATTACTTCTTCCATCTTAGCTATCCATTCCTTTATTTAATTAAATTTTATTGAACTTTTATAAACATAAATAAAAGGCTTAAAACTAATAAAATATTATCTATCTTACATTTTAGGGTATTCCTTGTGTTTTTATTTAATTACACAATAAATTTAGGATGATAATATAGTTCTAGCTTATTGTTTCCATCAAATTGACTACGTTGTAGTTGAAGTGATCTTTTTTAGCACCATCAAGTGTTAAATAGATAATTAAGTTTATTGTCAGTCTTTCAAGTATTAAGCATTTCTTCACCAATTTTCTCATTTATTTATCTCCAAATAATCTCTTTATATTTAAACAAAAAAATATTTAAAGTATTTGATTTTTTTATTCAAAAAATCATTAAATTGTATTTATTTCTATAAAAGAAATAGATCCAATAAGGGATGCCAATAACATAATTATTTTAATTTTATTTTAGATGAAAAATTATTAATTGCTTTTTATTTATTTATCTACTTTATATAAAATATTAATTTATATCTGATTTTATTTTAAGTTTTGGAAATACACTTAAATATTTCTGAAGGTAAAAGATTAATTATTACCTCTAATCTCTCTTGCTCACATGTAGTGATTAGTTCTAGGTAATCTTTACATGTATGGACATATGAAATGTTATCATGGAATTATACTTGTTCGAATATCAAAAATATTTTTTCTTCAATAAACAACAGAGTTTCTAAGTTTAGTTTCACTTTTAGTAAAGGTTTTTTGGTGTCTAAAGCATTATTTTAGTTTAAATTTTAATTCTAGTTGTTACTTTCCTGAATTAGATCTTAGTTAGATTGTATGTTGGCTGATTAATAGGTAGTTATTTGGCGAGATCTGTTTGGAGTTTCTGTAAGAGAACTGTTAAGTGTTTTATCTGAATTTAGCTCTAAAATACTCTGATATTTCTATGGAGTTTGTAAACTACTATTTTCTTATATACTAATATTTTCAACTTAAGACATTATTTTTTTATCACTTGCTTACTAAATATCAGCTTAAGTATTTTCAGTCTATGAAATTTATTTATTAAATTCTTAGTTGGTTTTATAATCTATATTTTCTTGATATATTCTTTATTGTTGCTGCTCTTGAGCCTAGTCTTTCAAATTTTCGTTTGATGGAAATTTGATAGATTCCTCTCTTTGAATTGTTGGATCGATTTCATAAAAATTAAAATGAGATGAGCCTAGTTTAGTTTTATCTTTTTCAGTGTCTTATGTATTAATTTCTTAACTTTTATTACTTTCTTGGAGCTTTGATTTATCTAATTCTACTTCATATTAATTTATTTCACTTAAATTTTTTAGGGTTTCTATCTGTTAATCTATATTTCTTTAAGATTAGAGTTTATTATATTTTACAAAAAACGTTTCTTTGACATTTAATTTATTGGATTTTTTTGAGGATGAGCTAGGCATCAAAGATTAATTTAAAGAATATTTATATGGTTGTTTGTGTACTTAGCTTATCATAGGCATACCGTCTATAACCGATCCTTCAGTTTTAATATTTCTACCTTCATTCATACTTGTGTTGTTAAAATCATGATCTAAATTCTCCTTACTTCTTAGTTTTATTTTTCCATTTTTTTTAAAATTAGCAGGAACTGCTATCTATTTAGTAGTAGAAGGCACCGGAGCTAACCTGTTGGTATCATAGTTGTTCACTATATTTGGCATATATGATAACTACTATTCTCCTTACTCTTTTGGACTAAATTTTATAGGAGATAGCAAACAGTTATCGCTTTTGTTTAAAACATCGTTATTTAAATCCAAATTATTTTCTTTAAGTGGTGTATTTCTATTTAACTTATTCGCACTAGCATAAGATTGTTTAACTCTGCTTGGCTTTGACAAAAGATATTTATCGTATGCTTATTACTGAAAGCTTTAATCTAATTCTTAACCTGAATGTGATGTGTTTATTAATATATTATTCTTTTGTGAATTTTTTTTGCTATTTAAAGGATTTTTAGAGTCTTAGTTGTAGTAAAAATTATACATGTCATTATTATATTATTGCTGAGTAATTTAACTATTTTATAAGTTCCTCATCTATTGTAAGTGATTTTAATTTTATTTTATTTGAGGTGGTTAAATATTATTTAGCTCAGAATTTAAATTTTAATGCTAAAGAGAGATAGGTTAATGATTTTTATTGGGTGTTCTAGTTTAAGATCTATTTAGAACTCTTTAAATCGTTGAACTATTTCTTCTATATTCATCTATTGGTAGCATATTTTTATCTACCTTTAATTCTTCATTCAGTTAATTCCCTCTTTCAAGTGTATAACTCCTCAAGATTGTCTTACCTATATTACCACCACTTGGTGAATAAGAGCGAATATCAACTAACTCAGAATTATTGCATTCACCACTAATTTAATTTTAATTATTTACTGTTGTGCTATTTTGATCATCTCTTATTTAAAAGTTATTTTTTTTGTTACTTTTGCTAGTCGTTGAAGTAGGCGGCTGCTTAATATGAGGAGTTTTTATAGGTTCCTTAGAAGCTGCACTAAAATTCCTTAATTTTTAGTTATTTGTTACCATGTATTATCCTAAATTAGAAGAATTTTAAGGTGATCTAAAATTTCCAACTTAAGGCAGACCTTAATTCTAGTTGTTAATAACAGGAAGCTAATCTATATACTTTCCCTTCTTTGATTACTCATACCAAAATTCTTGATACTGTTTTTACTGCTGTTATTACTAATTCTAAACTATTTTTTTTTAAGCTTGAACATTATCTTCCTAAGATTAAACTTAAGTATTTTCATTGATATTATTGTTATTATGATTATGTTACTTATCCTAATCTCCAGATATTACTTCCTAAATAATAATTTGGATAAATGATGCATATCAAATTAGTAGATGAAAAAAAGAAACATACATCTTTCATAAATTTCTGCTTTCCCTTAGATATATTTTTATCTCCATATTCTTCCCTTTCTATTATAAAAAAATTAGTTTTTATTCTCAATTCCTACTTTTCTATTTTAATGCTAAAATAAATTAGATTACAAAGCAAGATCTAGTCAGAAGAAGGATAAACATCTGATTCTTCAGTTTTAATTCTCTTCAACTCAGCTTTATCGACATTTCGGCAAATACCTCTTGATCTAGATTATTTATTTTATTAACCCCCTTATTGCTTTAGAGTTATAGGCTTTAAATACTACTACTAAAACTCAGCTTTCATTTGATTACAAGCAAACGGACTTTTCTTTAATTAAATTATTTTATAATTATTAAATGTGTTTGTTTTGAATATACTTTTTGCTCTTTTTTTCTTATTATGATAAAAACCACTAAAAAAATAATCAATTATTAGTCTTTTTATGAAAACTAACTAATATAGATTTTATCTAAATGAAATTACTACTAAAGAACTCTTTTTTATTCACTGAAACTTAACAACACATTTACCGTACCAAAAAGTTAAAATGAGCTAATTGTAATTTAGAAACCAAAAAATAGACTTTATTCTCTTGATCAGATAAATGTGTTTTAAATATTTTTATATTAAATCTTTGAGAAATTAAAATTTTCAGTAACAAATTTTATTGTTTAGCTATTTTTCATAAATAAATTCACATATTTTGAATCAGTTCTATTCAAAACAAAAAATTTTAGCTTACTTACATAACTATAAAAAAATCTAAGCCAAAACTATTTAAAAAGTCTAACAAAATTTTATGATTAATTTTATTTATTTATTTTACCAAATCAATTTAATTCTTTTATTTCTGGTTAATTTACCTTTCTGATGTAAATCAAAAATTTACTTACAATTACTTAATAGATTTCTAATATAAAAATATAAACGTGATATATTAAATTAATCTTATTTTAAAATATTTAATAAGATTTATTGTTTACAACAAGTCTTAGTTTTTTTATGAAAAAAAACTATATAAAATTCTTTTTGTTAAGTTTTTATGTTTTATAAATGCTATTTTTAATAGTTATGCAACTAATCCAATTGATTTTTTAGCATTGATGTAAGTTTTTTTTAAATGAACAAATTATGCAAGGAAAATTAATAAAGTATTAGTAGGATCTTCAAATATTTATTATTTACATAATATTACTTTGATTTAATACAGATAAATTAAACAATAATAAAGCTACTGCTTTTTATAAATATTTAGATTATTAATTTTTGAATTTTTTAGGAATTAATTATGTTAATTTATTATTTGCTGTTCTAATTAAAGAAATAAAAGCCAAAGAATAGCATTTTCTTCTTTAAATTACAGAAATAATTTTAGAAGAAGAGATTATATTTCGTTAAATTCATAAAATAATATAAAATAAAAGAGTTTAAAATATAATAGTTTTATCCAAATTTTTTAATAAGCAAAGTTATCATTGCTTATAATTAGTTAATTAATTAGAATTAATTTTTTAATATTCCTGAATTTTTAGATACAACTATTTACTTATTAACATTTTTTTAGTCTTTTCTTAAAAATAAAGTAATAAAAAAATTAATTACTTTGATCAGTTAATATTAAAATTATTATACTACTTTTAATATGAGCTGAAAGTAACTAACTTACTTACTTAATTACTTATTCATTATATTTATTTCAATAAAAAATAAAAATTTTTTAAATTTAAAATAATTAATTAGAAATTTTGATGTATTTTAAAAGCCAGTGTATTTTAAAATTTATGAGTATTAATTAAAAAAATTTCTTTTACTTGATTTATTTATATTTTTTTAAAAAATTTTAGGAAGTTAAATTTTAGAAATTAAAAAAGTGAATTAATTGTATTATCAGTTTCTAATGGAAAATATGCTAGCAAGCATACACTATAAATTGATAAAACATTTAAGAAAAAGTATTTATTTAAATTAAAAAAGGAGTTTTATTTTTGTTATATTATAATTTTCATTTATGACCAACTAATGTCTTCTTAGCAGCATTGACAATATGGGCAACGCTGGGAAGACTCATTGCTTCTAAGTTTGGAGCGTAGGCAAGAGGAATATCTAAACCACAAACTCTTTCTAAAGGAGCATCTATATAGTTGAAGGCACTAGATTCGAAAATCATGGCAGAGATTTCTGCACCGATACCATTTTGAGGCCATCCTTCTTCAACAGTTACTATTCTGTGAGTCTTTTTGATGGAGTTTATAATAGTTTATCTGTCAAGAGGTCTGATAGTTCTCAAATTGATAACCTAATTTAAAGATTATTATTTTAAAATAATATTAAAAATATAAATATTTTACTTCAGCACTTATTCCTTGCTTTTACAATTCTTCGGCAGCTTCAAGACACATACCAACAGGCTTTGAAAAAGAAACTAAAGTGACGTCAGTACCTAAATAAATATTGGGAAAAATTATTAGAATTAATAAAAAAATAAAGTATTAATTAATAGATAACCTTCTCTCATGATCTTAGCCTTTCCAATAGGGAGAACAAAATCTTCTTTAGTTACACTTTCTGGGACAGTGAATGTTTTACCATACATAATTTCATTTTCTAAGAAAACAACTGGATTAGGATCTCTGATAGCAGCCTTTTAAATTAAAATAAATATGACTGTTACAATAATTGTATTTATATTTTTACCTTTAATAAACCTCTTGCATCTTCTACGTCATAAGGAGCAATAACTATTAAGCCAGGGCATGAAGAATACCTTAATATAATATTAAAATAAATAAATAAAATACTTCTATGATTATATATAGAGATATTTTAATATTAGCGCATTGTGATTTGAAATTTATGTTTAAATAGCATATTATTAAAATATTACATAAAGTGCTAAGTAAATATCTAAAAAATGTAAATCTTATTAAGTTTTTCATAGAAATTACTATCGAATTATCTATTTGTAGAATATCTTTCAACAGATAATTAATTAATTACTTATTTATTTATTTTTCAATATATTTATTTTTTCTTAGCTAAATTAATTTATTTTTTTAATATGATTTGAGTAGATTTTTGAATAATACTTACTCATACACCAAATAATTAATTATCTAAATGCGCTAAATTTTCTTTATTTTCTTAATTACCAAGCAGCGAAGCATTAAGAGTGCTGGGCTGCTACTGCAGCAGCGGGTCCATTAAGACCTCTGAAAACAATTTAGGTATGTAAGTCACCATTACTCATGTATCTTAACTTTGCAGCGCTATTAATAATATGATCAATAGCTTGCATAGCGAAATTCATAGTCATAAATTCAATAATTGGCTTTAAACCATACATAGCGGCACCTACACCAATACCAGCAAAACCTAATTTTAATTTTTAAAATTTTAATCTGCTTAATCATAACTATCACAAGAAAGTTTAAATTGCTTTTTCATCAAATTTAAATCGAATAAACTTGAATCACTTAAACTAATTTATTTATTTTATTATTAATTATATACCTATTTCAGAAATAGGAGTATCTACAATTCTGTCGGGACCGAATTTTTCAAGCAAACCTTTTGATACTTTATAGGCACCGTGATAATTAGCGACTTCTTCACCTATATTACATAATTAATTAATTTATTATGACTATGCTGCTAAATTAAATTCATAGTTAAATAATTTGAAGATATTATTTAGGCATCATCAAAATCTATTTGTACTTGCTATTCCTAATTGTTTTAAACTTTTTATAAATTAAAAATCTACCCATTAAGAAAACTTGAGGATCACGGGCAATTTCATCAGCCATAGCACTTTATAAAGCATCTCTGACAGTCATGGATACCATCTTTTCTTCTTATTTCTACCCGTGAGTAAACTTAATAGAAGGCTTTCTTCCTGAAGAGAAATATTTGCAAGTCTAAAGGAGACTGGAGCATTTCAAAGTGGACTAAGTATTTAGTTTTTACAATAAAAATTAATGAATAAAATTGATATTGACTTTTAAACAAAGTAAATAAAACTGAATAATAATTAGAGAAAAATATCACTTACTTTGTAGAAAGTATGTAGCATCTTTAATAGGAGGTAGAGTAATTGAAAATATTTGTTTGTTTGTTTGTTTGATTGTTTATTTATTCAATTAAATAATAAGCTATATTTTGAAATTATATCCTTAAGAATATTTAAGATATTAAAAGAATTGTAGATCTATTAATTATTTATTTTTTATTTTGAATGCATAATTTTTATTTGCAAAATTGCATGTTAATTCGCTCATAATTCATCTAAGCAGCTGATATGTTTCTTATTATCACTATAGATCAGATAATAACTCTCCTTTTTAATTTAAAGTAAAAATTCATACGTAATTTTAATATTTGCATTAGTTATTTGCTAAGTAGACTTTCAATCACATCTCTTCTTTACTCACTATAAATAAATGCCTTTATTATGTCTATCTTTAATAAGTACACTTAAAAAAAATTCTTTTAAATACATTTAACTACCTGGTAGTTAATCTTTAACTAAATGACCTCTTAAATTTTTTAAATATGCATCTATAGCTATATTAAATATGTTTCAACTAATTATCTTTAAAAATGAGTTTAAAATTAAGTAAAAAGCTTTTCTATCCATGTTTTTTTTATTCTATAAAAAATTATTAATCTTCTACATTCTTAATACCTGAAAAAAAAATATTAATAAAATAAATCATAATAAAACTTTAGAAACTGTTATTCTATTAATATAACAGCTTTACTATAAAAAAAATATCACCAATTTTATCTATTCTAAATTATTTTATTATCATTTATTTGTTTTTATTTAGTAAATTATTAAAATTAACAAAAAAACCTCTTAAAAAAAACTAGTCTTTGATTATTATTTTTAGTAAATCTTAAAAATATGATAAATTTTGTTTTTACCTCGTACTTTATAAATTTCACGTCATTCAATCAAAGTATCTTAATCTTAGATGATGAAATTAATTCCTAAAGTAAGAGAAACTCTGTATTAATTATAAATTAATTAATAACCAAATATTAAATTAAAACCAATATAAATCAAATCTTTTTTATTAAATAAAAAATTATATTGAAAAATATTTTATTTTAGTAATTCAATTCTTAAAAATTTCATATTTTTGTTAATAAAGATAGTTGAATTTATACTAATTAGTAACTTCAAATTCTTTCTTAAATTTATTAAGCTAGATGTTTATTTCATTTTCAACTTTAATTTTCTTTTTGGAACTGTTGAATATCAATATTAAACAAATTACCATCATACCTATGTAAGTAAATAAATAATCAGTGATTAAACAAATAAAATATAAAATATAAACATTATATTTTAACTTAAAATGAAGCTGGATAAATATCAATAAATAACTATTAGGTAAACTTTTTGTATGTTAGAGTGTTTTTAATAACCCAAAGAATTTAAAAAGATTAAGTAACTTTGCTCTAGAAAAAAATACAAAAAAAAAAATAACAGTAAAGATTTAAGATTATTCATAAATTAATATTAATGACACTATTTTTATTTTTTTTAATAATAGATAAAAAAGTTAACTTTGTCAAAATTTAATGAGCTCAAACAAAAAATTTATAGATTTTAATTTTAAGTAAAAATCTCTTACTACTTATTTATTATACTTAATCTGATGAATATTTTTTATCTAAACCAAGGTATTAATAGATCACTAATGAATTTCTTTAGTAAATATTTGAATAATTAAAATAACATACCAATATCACATCATTTTCTATGTGTTTAGAGTAATTTATTTATTTTTAAAGTAGTAAAATAATTAATTATTCATTATAAAAGAGGACATTAGATAACCAATGAGTATATATAAATAGTTTCTCAAGGAATAGCTGATTGTATAAATATAGAATCTTTTGTTTTAGATTTAAGGTAGCTAGTTATATTTAATTTAAAAAAATTAATTATTATATTAAAAAATATTTTAAGTTTTAAGAAAAAAATTCTATTTAAAAAACAATTATTTACTAAAAATCTCTAAACTAATTTATAGATTTCATATTTAATTAAGCTAATAAAGCTAAATTCACATTTAATTAAGTTAAATTCATCAGTATTTAATTTGAAGAAGTATTAGTGATTGGATGTATTTTAAGTTAACCTAATAAATACTTACTAGCTTTTCATAAACTTATTTATTTTCCTTGAAAGACTTAAATAAAACAAAAAAGAAAGCTAATAATCTTTAAATTTTTATTTATTAGTAACATTTCTCAAATTTCTGAATCAGTAGACACTTTAAAGTTGAGCTAAGGAATTTATTAAAATAAAAATATTAAGTCTTTTACTTTACATTTGAGGTATGATTAACTAGTTATTTTTATATTGCTAACTAAAATATAATTTAATAGTTAAGATTGTATTGGACCTTAAGAAACATAAAACTTAGTTTAAGAATTCTAAAATAGCTCAAATCTGGAATCTTTCACCATCAATTTATTGTATTATTAATTTTTTTATTTATTAATAATAATTTCTTATTAAAAAAACATATTAGCAATAATAATATATCAAGCTAAGGGGCTAGTTACATTGGATAATGTCTACCTAAATTAAATAATTTAATTTCCTTTAAATTATTTTTATAGTAAAAAATTTTACTATCTTTCATTCATTCTACTATATTTACTTTCTTGTTTAAGTGCTAATAAGATATCAGATTAAGGAATTTTAAATCTAGGAAATGGGATCGGCTAATGTAAATAGCTAAACAATTTTTAAATAGATTTAAGGTATAATTTGAAATATTAATACTCTTCTTTACAATATTTATGAATTTAATTACTTTTTTTTTCATTTTAATTATTTAGAATGTTTTCTTAATTTATTTATTGGTTTTCCTTTGTTTCTTGATTTAACAAATACTTTTTAAAGCTAATCATGTACTATTTTTATTTATTTTATTAGTTAAAACTTATTTGGCTAAATAAGTCTAATTAAATTTCATAAAGCTACTTCAAAATGTTAAAATCTAACTTATTATACACTGGCCTTAATGTAAACAGACATATAATTATTTATTTTAATAGTTTTAAAAAAATTATTTATCATAAATATAGGGGTATCTAGATTGATTAAGAAAAAACTGGAATAAATTGTTTCAAAGCTAAAAGATTAGTTTCTTGTTAATATATTTTTTGAGAAGTGTAATTACTCAAAAACTGACGAAGAAAATAATTAATTTATTGTTATTTTTAATACTTTTTTTTAGATAATCTTCAAAAGATTTAAATCTATTAAGAATGAATTAAAATAACAAAACCAAAACATATTTGTTTGTAATTAAATTATTTAGCATGAAAATTAATTAAAAAATATTTTAAAAATTACACCAAAAAAATATTTTATTAATAAGTTTATGTGAAAAAAAAGAAATATGTATGTGATGTTTATTTTTTATTAAATATATCTTCAAATAGAAGTTATTACTAATTATTTTTAACAGCCAGAGAATTCAATTTTGTTTTAAATTTGATGAAATTGTATTCTTAAACGGAATTTAGAATAAATATTAGCTGGTTGGTTATCTCTTCAACAATTTTTTAGAAACATTTAATGTGAATTAAAATAGAAACTTTTTTAATAAATAATTTTTCATCTATTTTGAAACAAATGAATATTATTTCATTTTTTAAACTTATTTTTGACTTTAATTAATTAATTAACAAATATATTTAAAAATTTTTGTTACAACTAATCAAATATTATAAAATATATACAAGATAAATTAAATAAATCAAATTCTTAAGTATGAAATATTTTAATTTTGCTTATTTTTTTATCATAAATCTTATATTTAAATTTTGGAATAGGATAATATTTAAAACTAGGGAAGCAATTATAAACTTTTTTAATTGTAATAATAAACATTTTTACTTATTTTTGAGTATTAATATGAATTTTTTTTAAGAATGGAATCTAATTCCCTCCTTATTTTTATATTTATTATATCTTATTTTTAAAAAAAGATATTTTTTAATTTTTTTAGTGTTATCGCTCAATTTTTTTTTTCGCAATTTCCTTTATATAATTTTTTGTGTTTTTCTTATCTTTTTTTTTAGAGATTCGCTTGTTAAAAATATTAATATTGTCATGAAAATTTGATGATACTTGCCTTTATAAGTTTTGAGCTAATTAGTATTTGATAAATTAAGGATGCAAATTAAATGATTTATTAATAGATGAATAGCTATATAAATTAATACATATAGTGTATAGATAGATTGATTGAGATGTAAATTTGATTAGGAATTATGAATGAAAAAATACAAGGAATCAATTAAAAAATATAAATCAATCTGAATTAGTCTTTGATTTGAAATAAAATAAAAGAAAAAAGAATCTAATAAAAACATCTTTGCATATGAGTTTCAAAGTGGATAAGGCAAAGGAAATCGTCTCAGATTTTCGAAATTTTTTTAGATTGAGTAAAATAATTTTATAGCATTTATCGTCTCATCATAGTCTTTTTAAACATCTTAACTTGAACAAAATTTGAGATTTACCTATGAATTTCAGTCCAAAATTTTTTTTAATTTTTCCTCCTTTTCCTCTTTATTTATTGAATTATTATTAATGGCGGATAATTCTCATAAATTTAATGAAATTGCAAGTAGGAGGCAAGGTTAATTAGTAAATTGGCTATAAAAGGAATTATATATAAGTAATTAAGGGCATGATGAAGATAAATTGCGAAATGAATGAACTTAAAGCATTATTTTTTGATAATTAATAAAAATAGAACATTATTTATAGGAGGATCATATTAAAAATGCCATACAGTTTCTTGAAACAGATTTAGCAAATCACGAGATTGGAGGCGGAAATAACCCATAAAATAATAGTAGGGAGAGCAGCAAGGTGTTTATAGAGATAGTTGATATATTTTTACCAGCTTACATGGAGATTTTAGAATAGTCGCCTATGCAATATGAATATAATTAGGTGTAGCGCACTCGTTTATCAATATTAGAATTGCTCAATAAATTTTTTGTTGTTAGAAATCAGTAGACAAATGTTCGTTTATATTCTTTATTATTAGATATTGTACGTAGAGACAATGAAACTAATGCAAATTGTGCTACTAAAATACTTCAAGAATTCATAAAGTAGCTAGCAGAATAAATAAATAGTTAGCATGCAGGTTTAATTTAAAAAATGACAGAATTTAGCATAGAAAGCCTCTAAAGTGCATATGCAAGTCTTATTTAATTTTAATAACAGTAGCAGGAAGAAAAAATATAGTAATTATAGTAAGATGCAAATGGGATGCAAATAGAAGAAAATAATTAAGATCAATAAGCAAGTGTTAATGGAAAATAGAATCAATCAAATAGGCCAATGATTGATCATAAAATAGAGGATTTTCTCAATACTTTAATAGACATTGAAGATAATTATCCTAAATTAGAGCAGCTCACAGATGATGTTTATAAAGTGTTATGTGACAAGTCCAAACTTATTCAAGAATTAAGTTAAAACTATAAAGATCCTTAATTTAATATTTTAAAAGAATAAAACGTACCTTCGTCTTCTTCTTCAAGCAAGAAAAATCCAAGATAGTAGCAACAATCTCAGTCTTAGAGTTAAGTTAATTAGTAGCAACAATTAAGTTAAATATAATAGGGCTAGCAACAAAATCAAGCAGATAAAATTATTCCCAGTCCTTTATCTTTATAGATTCTTAGTTAGCTTCCTCATACTTTTATTACTATTGCAAATTTAGACTTGCAGCCTCTTTGTAAGATTTGCATGAAATTTTAAGCTATTAAGCAAAATGCTCTTCAAGAAAAAGATGAAAACAACTAAAACAACAATAATGTGAATTCTTCTGCTGCTTCTGCTATTGTTGAGGAAGGTAATTAGACAAATAGCAACAACAATGCAAGTCAATAAAATAGTCAACAAAAAAATTACAACTTTGAAAATTTTAATAATTAATTAGTCAAATAAACTAAAGAAATGATTAATAATGTCATCAAGGGGTTTTCCGATCTTAAGATTTAGGAAATATATGAGGAGTTAGGCAAGAATGTTGCTCAAGAACTCATTATAGTGCTTGCTAAAATGATTAAATTTTTTAGCGTTTTCATAAAGAAAAACGACGATTTTTCACAAAGAGCTATTTTCAAAAATATGAATAAGCAAATGTTAGAATAAATTTTAGATACTGATAAAGTTATTGAATGTGCCATTAACTTGGTTGATAAGTGCCCTGAGGAATTTTATACTTAAAGAATTGATACAATATCAAATTTGAAGAATCTTATAACACATAAGCAAGGCAAGCTAAAAGTGAAGTATTGGTAATAGCTTTACCAAGAATAAAAAATAGTTGGAAGTGTTTAATTAATCAGTATTTACGGCAAGAACTAGTTGTAACATCAACTCATCGAATTGTATAAATAACTTAATTCGGAGTTCTCTCGCTATTATGTAAGCTAAATTCAGCAACAATCTGTTCGCATAAATGATATCATGTAAATGCAGTAGATTATCTTTAATATGATTGAGACTTTAATAAAAAATATATTTGATAACTAATTGTATGTTTTTATGCAAGAAAAATCTCTTGAAATGCTAAGGGACGTTCTAAAACATTTCATTAATTTTGGTATTAATAGTAAGATTCCTAATGAAATTAAAGTCTTCAGACATAGTATTTTGATGAAAGTTGTGCATGCAATTTAAATGAAATACAAAGAAATTAAGAGAAATTTCTAATCTATAAAGCGTTTTATGAGTTAGTAAGAAGCTAGTCAGGGAAACAATCAGTAAAGCTAAAATAAAAAAAATGATGGAAAAAAAGAGGATGAAGTGAATGACTAGTAAATGCAAATAGAAGAACCTCAGTTTTAAAAAAATGAAAGAGATAATTAATTCTCATAAAAAGAAGAGAATAAAGAAAAAACAGTGACTTAACTTCATTTAAATTAGATGCCTATAGCTAATTTAGGCGATTATGATGACATTGAGTGGAAGAAAAAGCGCATAGATTTTATTAAGAGCAATAATGTTAACATAGAAAGCAATCTATAAAGTCTTCAACATTTATAATTCCACCACTTAGAAATTTATAATTAAAAGGAAACCCTTTTTTTTAATGGTATCAAGATAAAGAAAAATATAGACCGCTAATTTGTCAGAGATATTAAAAATAAAATTGTAGAATACCTAATTGAGTTGCAGAGAGACATTTAAATTGTATTTTTCAATGAAAATAGAGAAGAAGAGTTCATCAATTTTACTCAAAAATATAAAAATGCAAATCCCAAGCAAATCGAACAAAGAAAAATGCAGTTAAGTATGTACAATACATTAAAGAAAGAATAAAGAAATATTTTTAGAAAAATCCTTAAAAACGGTTTAGAAGTTTTTGAGTTCTTCCATGACTATGAGCACACCAACAGTAGATCTAATGATTATAGTTAATCAAGTAAAAGGAACAATTTACTGTTTTTCATGTAAAATTTCGGTTTGATCAATGATAAAATATCATTCAAAGATATTTTTGAGCCGAATATGGACACAATTTTTAAGTATTTGTTGAAGTACAGTGACTGCTCTGAAAACTGCATGAAAAATTTAATAATTGAACCTTTTGTTGTTATGGATAAGTCGAAAATGTAAATGTAAATGCAAAATAATTAAACCATTGAAAACTCTCATTTAGCCTAAATATTAATTATTTATCTAATGCATAAATTGAATACCAACATAGAAAATATAGATCCCTTCAGTCCTTTCTATGAATACAGAGATAAATATTTCACTCGCATATAAAGTATAATAAAAATCCCTCTTCGAAGCTTCATTCGTCTCACTGATTACGAATTCGTTTATAGTTATTTTAGATAAATAATTATCTTCCTCATAAAAAAATCCCATACTTCACAATATCCATTAGAGTACTTATAAATCCTAAGGTAAATTATTTAAAAACTGTACTTTTAAATTGAAATATTGTTATTTATAATATTAAATAAATCATTTTATTTTAACCAAAAAAAACTTAAATATTAAATAAAATATTGTTTTTTGTTTGATCAAAACAAATAACAAATTTAAATTTTAATAATTAAATGATTTTATAAGAATTCAAGACAATAATTATTGGTAAAACAAAAAAAATTTTAAATATAGGACCTTGTTTAAATGCTTTTTATCACCTGGTGAAAGAAGTCAATAACTAATCGATAACCTTAATAATTAATTTTTCGGTATCTGTAATAAATCAGAGGATAATAGTTCCAATTCTTCGTCTTCTTCTTCATCTTCTTCATAATCTTCATCCTCATCTTCATAATCTTCTCTTGCATAATAAGACACTTAATATCAAAATATTAACATTATTGAAAACCTAATTGCTCTTTATGACACTGATATTCACGAAGTTAAGGTAATAGTTTGTGAATTAATTCTTTTGCTCCCTCTTAAAATTAGGCACATAGTTGCTAAAACTAAGATCATTGGCCGTCCTCTAGTTAAAGCTCTATCTCTCTTTGATTAGGCAAATACAGTTCGCTCTTTAAAAACAATAGAAAGCATATTAGGTAAAAGAATAATTTTAAACGTTTCTTGTTAAAATTGTTTCATCTATGAAAAATAATAGGCTATTGTACACATGAAGAAGCATAGCATTTGTTTATGGAAAACAAAGATGAATTAATGGAAAAATTATATGAAATTATTTATGAATAAAGAATTATTGAAGAAGTAAGAAAGAAACCCCATCTCTATCCTGATACTCATTCAATTGTAATTAATTAATTAATATAAAAAGTTTTTTTGATTATTAACATTTTTATTATTTTTTAGGATAAAAAAATATAAAACGACCCTGCAATAATTGCAGTGAAGCTTCTTGGAAGGATGAATCATTTGACAAGATCAACAAAATTCTAAGAAAAGCTTTAGAATGACATAAAAAATTAAGAATATCTTGACTAATTTTATATTAATATTGAAATGAACAATCCTTAATAGGATACTTTGAACCTCCCACTAAATGATGTCATTTTACATTCTATAGATATATTTAATAAAATTATAGACAATTTCTACTGCCAGACTGTTCGAGGCAACTCAACACTAGCCGCCTTTTGCATCCTTAAGATTACTTTATTTTAATTCTTCCCTGACTCATTATTTAAAAATAGCTCCGTTTCTAGTTCATAAGCTGCTGATAATTTCTTCTAAGTACTTTCTATAAATTTCTCAACAAATATATATATCAAAATAAACTTTTATTAATTTTATATTTATTATTTGAATAGAATGAAATGGAAAATGTTTTTGAAGAAAAAGATTAACCAACTAAAAAACTCTTTTAGGCTATCCACTAAGTGAATTAAAATGATCAAAAGATTTAAGAAAATGAAGGAATACTTGATAAGATATTAAAAATATTCTTTGAAATAGTTGGAATTGATCAAAAGTTAACAACAGGTTTTTCTATCATAAACAGATTTAAAAAAGAATCTTAAAAAATTTTAGAAATTCTGAATAAGACTATTTGTATTCTTTATAAGACTAATAAGGATGAAGCCTTAAAATATATTAAGGCAATAACTCTTAACGGTATCAGGAGTGTTAAGATGAAAGTTATTTTAACAAGAGAAGAGTTACATATGTGCAAAGATTAAATTTGTGGATAAATAGAATTTATTTAAAAATTCTTCAAGAATCAACAAGAATATCTTAAAGATGCAGACAGAAATAGTTATGTTGAATTCTAAGATTTCTACTTGAAATCAATTTTAAAAGAGCTTATGAATACAACTAATTAAAACAAAATTTATGGTCTTCAAGTAATTTTACTTGACTTTATTGAAGAATACATTAATGACCAAACTCTCCTCTAAAACTAGCAACAGAACGTTATTGAAATAATTAACACTATATTTATTATCTTAAACGAAATTCCTGACATAATTAATTTAAAAACAACTAAAGTGTCTTCATAAATTCTTTCAAAGACTCTTAAATTCTTCCGCAAGCATAAAGATAACTTTGAAAGAATTGCTTGCAAGAAATTGATTGCTATATTTTTTAATAATTTATTAACATATAGAGAATTCGCTCATACTTTAGCTAAAGATTGTTTAGTTAATGCTTCATAAATCCATAAAAAGAATTTAATAGATCTTTTTTACTGGAGAATGGATACTAGCGATTTTGAAGACTCACCATTCACTACAGGTAGTAATATGCTCGACTCACCTCATCTTAATTCTCAAAGCAGTAATGTCAACAATTCTCAATCGTCATATACCTATAATGTAACTTAACATCCTATCAGTAAAATAATCGAAAATATGCAAAATACTTTCCTTGGTTCTCTTCTTATGAAAATTAAAACTTCAATTTAAAATTTCTCATTAACAAATAACAACTTTGAAAACATAAAATAAATGAAATACATTTCAAATGTTTACAAAACTTTAGAATTCTTAATCTGTATTGATTAAAATCGTCTTCCTTTCAGAGTGCTTATTAATGATCCTCCTTAACAAATACCTCCTGAAGAATAAAATACATTTTTCAATGAAAAGTACTACAAATTTGATCCTGATATTGTAAACATAATACAAAGCAGTGATATCATCATCGCTACCAATACAGAAAAAATGTCCAAGCATGTCAAAATCATTATAGAAAATACCAAACCTGCTAACTAACCTAATTAAACTGCCTAAAACGGAGCTAAGCCTAGTGAAGCTCCAGCATCTAATGCCCCTCGTCCAAACAACGCTTCTACTAATGGTAATCCATCTAATCCTTCAAATCCTGCATCCGGATCAACCTAACCTCCAGCAGCAGGAGCATCAACTCAAAGAGTATTTTTTATATTTTAACATTTAATTGACTTTATACACACTTGTACCCAATAGCAGTATCATTCCTATACCTTATTTATTAAAATTGATAATATTGATATAAGTTTTGAGTAAAATAAATAATAAAAAAAAAATTAATGATTAAATTATAGCTATTTATTCTTAGCTATTTAAGTTTTTATTTCCCAAAAATCCTTTAATTTGCTTGATTAATTTAATAAATTTTTTCTATTATATTAAAATATATATCTAAATATTAAATAGGCTGGTAATAATGCTCCTGTTTAGAATACCTTTTAGATCAATCATTAGGTTTACTTAAATATAGAAGAATTCGACTTGAATATTGAAGATATTGATCTTCGTATGAAGGAATAGTCAAATTTGATATAAAGCATATTAAGTTTTCTTAAAAGCTTATTACTGCTCAATCCTGTTAAGAAAGTAGCAAAGAGCAACTTAAAGAATAGAGAAAAGAATTAGCAAGATCAAAGTGAAATTCTCAGCTATAGATATAAAATTATTTTAAAACTTTTTGGATAAATGACGAGAATAGAAAGAGGTATTAGCAGTACTTCTTAAAGTTGCTTGCATGAAATGATTAACTAAGACTCTCACCCAAAGGAGCTTTTAAATAATGAAGATAAATTAAAGAGTATATTAAAGCCAGTGCTCATGTGCTTGTCGAATCATTTCCATACATTCACACCTTCTTTCTTGTAGGTACTAAAGAAAATTTTGAAGCTTTTAACACCTTGCTTTAATAAAGCACTCAGTGATAAGCTAACAACCCATTTAGATGATGTTACCAAAGATCCTAGTTAAAAATACAATATTTAATGCATTTCTGGACTTCTGAAGCTATTTTAATACTTATAGTATGCTTATTAGACTGCATATAACAATAATAATTAAGCTTCAAAGTAAAAAGAATACATCAAAAAATCAATAGATACAATAATTTAAAATATCAATAAAATTGAGTAGTAATACTCATAGACAGAAGGCAAGTATTAGATCTAACAAATCACTCGTAAATCGCTTTGCAAATTTATGAATTCGATGTCAGCTTAAGTTACCGAAAATTATTTCACAGAGACAGACCCAGAAATCCTAAATCTTTTGTTAGAAATCTTAAAGCTCAATAAGGTAATCAACTAATTAATATTCTTCAAATTAAAGTAATTATATATATATATAAAAAGGCTATGGTTGTTCGTGAAAGATTAACAAGAGATAGCAATTAATCAGTAATTTAAAAGCTCTATAATAAGGGCAGAGAAAAAGAAAATAAGATAGTTTTCTTGAGAATAATAAAAAACTTAGGTTATAAAAATTGTAGATTGATGCTGAATAACCAGTAAGGCGTAGAGTGTATCAAAGAAAGATTGACAGAAACTATCAAAATTTATAGAGATAAGACAATCACAGATAGTTCTATGCTATAAATTTAATAGATGAGCACAAAGAATGAGATTATTTATTATCTTAAAATTTTAGTGATTTACTGCTAATAAAAACACACAGATATTGAAACTTTATTCAATTTAGCTGATTTCCTCAGCATACGTATGGCTCGTTATACTTATTTTGTTTAAGACTTCTTTAATTACTACCTTCCTTACCACTACTCAGTCGAGCACAAAAAAGCTATCTATGAAAAATTCTTAGAATTTATCTTGTAAAATATGGAAAAAAAAGAAAAAGTTGAAACCATCATAAATATTTCTTATCACATTATATATCCTATGCTAGTACATTCCAATAAATTAGGTCAAGTACCTTAAATAGTAGATAAGAAGAAATAAATTGAGTTCTTTGATAAACAGTTTAAAATTCCTAAGTAATTTTCATAATTTGATATCTTTTTTATCAAAAAATATTTATTATTTTAATTTTGAAATTTCCAAAAACTTAAATTTAAATTTTGAGATAAGTTATTTATGATAAAAAATTAACATATAGATTGATGTTCCCATATTACAGACTTGAAATGGAAATATTGTAGTTATCAACTTTGCTTCTATCTTATTTGAGATAAGATGTTATTTAATATAAGAAAGAATTCATTAGATTTGGATGGAAGTACATGAAATGTGAAGAAAAACTTCTGAAACACATAAGTTATGTTTATACTTGTTAATTTATAACTTTGTTTGGAATGCCAGAAGAAATGATTTTCAGTATTTATGCTTCTTTAATAAATAGAAAGCAAGACGATATTGTTGTTCAATAAGAAAATGAAATAGGATCACTTATCAAGAAAGCCCTAAATTTCTTGATTCCCTTCTTAGCTCAAAACAATTCCTAGAAGTAATCAAATTATTTTATCAATTACATTATTATAATTATATTTAAATAACAGCAAATATAATGACTGGGTTAAATGGACAACAAATATCTTCAGTGACGATTCAAATTAGAAACATGCTATATTAATAAGATTTTGGCAAATTTTTATAAAAAATCACTAAATATTCCAGCAATATAGAAAATAATTCTCACCTCACATGATTAATTCTACATAATAGCTTATCATTTAAGCCACAAGATAAGCCAGTAGTTTTAATTCTCAAAATAAAATTGCTTGGGATTTGACTTTCCTTTATATTGAATGGTCATTCATTGAGATGAAATCTATCTTAAAAAATACTGAAGTCTATGCTAAATAGAAAAAGCTAAAGCAATTAGTAGAAAAAATAAAATAAAATTAAGCTTAAAATCAATAAAATGAAGGTAGTTCGACACCTAAATTCCAAATCGAAGAAGAGAGCATAAATGAAAAAGAATTCGTGAAGAAAATAACTTCATAGCAACTAGTATAAAACTAAAACATTTTTTAAGATTAATTAAATGAAAATAAGGGAGAACCTATTTCATTTTCAAGATCGATGTAGCAAGCATCTGAATAACCTAATTTTAATTCAGGAAACAATGAATAAGATTTCTTAAATAATAAATAAAACTTCGATAGCTAGTAATAATGTGAGAATATTTTACAATAGCAAAAAGAAATAATGCTAAAGTACAACATAAGTGAAGAAGATATAGCCCTAACTGATGAAGAGATTTTAAATGCCTAAGTAGAACTAGTAGAGAGATTCTCTGAAGAGATCGATTAAGGAGCAAAGGGTGTTATTATTCCATTTTATATAAAGTTAATTACCAATATTCTATAAACCTAAGATAGAGATAGAGATGAAAAGAACTTCATCAAACGTACTTTATACCTTCTTAAAAAGACTTTTTTCATTTGGGTAAAATATTTATTTACTTTCATCTAACATTTTCATTAGAACTCAATTACTTTTCTAAAGTTATTTCACATAGTTAAAGCCAAAATAAATAAAGAATTTTGATCTAAAAAAATAATTAAATACAAAAAATTAAAAAATATTTTGATAAAAATTAGCCTAATATTCAATAGAGAAATGAATACTATAAAACATAATTGTAAAGATTCACTAACAAATCATTTTCTTCCTATTACTGTTAATTAAATATCTTAAGCATCATTCTTGAATTTGAGAGTAATGAAAAAATTCTAAATTTCCTTCCTACTGCATACAAGCTTTTGGATAGTAAACCAAATTAGCCAGCTTAAGGACCTAACGGACCAACTCCTCAAGGAAACTAACCAGAAGCATCTTAGTAAATTTTAAGATAAAAGAAAATTAATTTTAAATAAAATTTTGTTAAATAGACCACCAGTTTCATAAAATAATCCGAATTAGAATTAAATTCCGTATCTTTTACAAATAGATAATCCTTATACTGTACTTATACTTTCTACTATTTTCAAGAGGCTATTAAATACTGCCAATATTTACAAAGAAAATGAATAGGCTGCAGAATTTTTCAGAAATGTAAATAAAATTGTTAAAAAAATTACAAAAAAATAAATTTTTATTTAATTATTATTTAAAAGGTTTAACAATTAGTGAAAGAAAGTATAGAATAGCATGTCAAATATTTGCATCTTTTCAATTAATATAGAGTACCAAATCAGCCGATTCCGCCACAAATATAAACCTAGTTAAATTAAATGAAGTAACAATAACCTATGAGTATTCAGTTGTCTATCAAATTACTAAAGATTCTCTACTAACTAGATGATAAGGTTGATCTTGGGTTAAGAAACATTAAAACACTTGTCTAATTTATGCTTGAAAAAGTAAAATCATGCAAATCTCCTATTGATGGCTACTACTTATTAACAAATTATAGCGAATATGATAGCAATACTGCAAATAAAATACTTAAAGTTCCTATTAAATAAACTTAAAATCAAAGCATAATTTAGGAATTCTCTGAAGAATACGAAGAAACAATGTTATACTATGATGAAGTGTATGATAGTACTAAGATTAACTCTATTCATAATAAGTAGAACTTTATTACATTGCTACGTATTCTTGCTTTGAAGATTAATTCATTCAATGATAAAGATAATTAGGATATCACTTCAATCCTGAAGATGCTTGCTTCTTATTTAGAGAAAATTTATGATTTAGATATCCGTATTGAAGCTGTTAATCTGCTGAAGTGCTTAATGATTGGAGAAAAGGCTTTCAAAAATAATACTCTACCTCTATAATACTAAAAAATTAAACAAGTTAATTTATCAGCAGAGAAAAAGATGGAATTAATCATCGGCATATTCAATTACATAGCTAGAATTTTTGACAAGAGATTCGGACTAACAAATCTCCAATTAAAGCTTACAAACACCTATCCTGATTCTGCTGCTGAATTTATGTCTCTGAAAGTAGCTGAAGAGTACATATCATAAGAATTTATGAGCTTCATAGTACACTCTATAAAAGAAAGTGGTATTAATAAATTAGATAGTGATTTTGTGAGATATCTCCTCTTATTATTTGTCAAAAACTCTTCTTCATTTGATTTAGCGTAATTCAATTTTAAATATTATTTAAGCTTTTTTCTCTAAATAAATTATTTTATTTTTCAATTAATAGACTCTTCTTCTAGCTTGCTGGAGATCTCTTCTGCACTAGCGACTTCAATTGTCTTCAGATGATTTTAGGCTAATTCTAGAGTGAAAAGTGCTTAAAGAAGATTTTATCTGTTATTATCAACTAAATGTCAAAAGAATACAGCTTAGAAAATCTAGAATAAGATGAAGTGCTTCTCCTCGCATTTAAGGTCATATTATTTAAAATTGTTGATTATGCTCCCAAGGTTAAAATTAAATTTGAAAGTGATAATTATGAAGCTAATGAGCTGTCTGATGACTCTAAAAATGATAGCCTTAGTTTGGAATTGAAGCAATAATTTAAGGAGTTCTTCGAGTTGAAAGACTATTCACTCAATAAGAGAGAAATCATAGAATTATATTCTGAAATGATGACTTCAGCTTAAATTAAGCAAAGTCCAATAAATTCAATCGATGCTAATACAAACAGCTACATCTTTGTCTTATATCAACCTTAAGTATCATTTAGCTGCCCAATCACTCCTCATCTTTTAATTCCTGCATTCAAAAAAGTCTTTAATTTTATGGTTAAACTGAATCCCAAGCCTATTCAATTACGTCAACAAGCAATCTAACTATTTGAGCAGTCTATCTTAAGACTGAACCCTTTCCCTCCAATTTTCAACAACTAGAAACAGTATATCTCTTTATATTTTGTTTAAGCGTTAACAGAAATAATTATGGAAGAACTAGAAAATCCAACTGGATATATTATTCAACCTGAGAAATTATAGACTACATGCAGAGAGTATAATATATGGAGTTATGTTTAAATATATCTTGAAAAGATGCATTTTTAGAGAGACAAATATATCACTCAATTTAAATAGTATTCTCTTAAGAACTTCGAGACATCAAGTGTTCTAGATTAGCTTTCTTAAATAATAGATGAGACTAACGAAAGTGATTATTCATATGGCTTAAAGTTCTACATGTCAAACAATTCCTAATTAAAAAGAGCAATAGCAATTCAACAACAAAGAGAGTGGAATGATGCCTAAAATTTCTTGATTGAGAAGAGAGCCCATATTTTCAATGATAATTAAGCTAAATTCAGTAAAGATAATGCTTCTTATTACTCAATATTAGAAGACTACTCTCACTTGATGGACTAAAGTATATATAAATCACTATTTATTGAGACTCAGAAAAATTTAAATAAGTGGGAAGACTTATACGAATACTCAGAAAAGACCTAAAATATCTATTTATGTAAGCATTTTAAGATTTAACTAATTGTAATTTAATTATTTTTTTTCAAAAAAAGAATTGGAATGCATGTACAACACATCAAATATAACTGGTATGAAGAAGGAAATAGCTAGATGCATTGAATATGGTTTGAGCATGGAGATTCCATTTAGATATTATTGCTCTACTCTTATAGACTTCCAAAAGACTACAGATAGAGAAGATATTAAGTAAGACTAAGGACATAATTTAACATATGCTTACTATTTAACTCTAAAAGACTGGACTAAATTTCCTAAAATGTTCTCTTCTGTTCATTTGAAACATTCATAGCAACTCCAATAATTAATAGAGCTTGAAGAAGGTTTCCGTGTGAGAGATATGAGAGACTAGCAAATAACTCATCCTGCTCAGATGATTGAATCTCTCGCTAAAAACACTTAAATGATGTTTAATTAATGGTATAAAATATTTTTTTTATCTTATCAAGTATAATATATATAATACTTCTTTTTTTAATAGGAGAGAGAGAATGCCACACAAGTATGAGAATTTGATAACTTGGAAAAATGTTGTTGATCAGAGAAATTTAATTTTGAATTCTATTAATGTTAGACTCAAAGATAGATTCAAAGGCTTGCTATAAAAGTTCCTACAAATAAATTAACAAAGAAGAAATAATTTAGCTAATTAAAACTAACCATCAGAAAATAGTAATCCCAATCAGCCAGGAGGTCCTAGTAGTTCTAGCTCATAATCTTCTCTAAGCAGCAGTTCTCTCTTATAGTTTGAAAGCTTTATTTAATCAATTCTTGAAGGAGACAAAGTAGATAAAATGTTAGCTTCATTTAGCGATCATCGTTGGAATACACTTAAATTCTTAAAAGTTTAAAAATTATTTGGCAACTATACTATCGAAAAAATGCCAAATATTGATTAAAAGCTCCATCCTGAAGAAATATATTTGAGGGCTAAGTTCTTAGCTAGCATTTACAAGGAGAACGAGTCTTACAACAACCTAAAATCTGCAATCGAAAGTCTCGAAAAGTTATCTCCTAAAGATTAAGACGAATTCAAAGTATACAAAGCAGATTTACTAAGAAAGAGAGCAATCTATTACTGGAACAATGGTAAAAATAATTAATTAAAATTAATTAAATGTTAATTTATTGAAATTAAAATATCATTTTTTTTAATTAGAAAAATATCTAGAAGCAACAGAAGATATGCAAAAAAGTATTTTAACTTGTGAAACTTATTATAAGACATGGAAGAGCTGGTTAGGAATATGCTTCTCTAATTATCTCAAACGTAAAAATTCTGAGTACTGGGTTAGAAATTGTATGTAGCTCATTCCCCAGGCTTTAAAGTATAAAAGCTATAAGACTTAAATGATATTCAGTTACGCTTTCCTCATAATGCATTAAGACTAGTAATTCTTTATAGACAATATAAAATAAATTCAATCTGAATTGCCAAAACCCCAAATGCTAATGTGGCTTCCAAATATGCTTTCAATTATACAAAATACTTCTACTCCTGAAATAATTGAAGTGTTTACCAAAATAATAAATGATATTGCTGTTTACTATCCTTAACACGTATTTTATTATTTAAGGGGTTTATTAGACTTATCTGTTACTTCTCAGTCTGTATCTCAAAACAGCAATACTACTTCCATAAATAATGCTTAAATCTTAAAGATTTATAACAATTTAAGAACATGCTAAAATTCAGCTCTTGTCAAGAAGTTAGAAACATTTGCAGACTTGGTAGCATAGCAATATTTCTAATCGCAACCTTAATTTGAATTTGAAACTCTTCTTAATGAAATTAACAAGCTTCTTGAAGAGTTCTCTTCAATGAATCTTAATTCTAATCTTCCAGAATTCTATAAAAAAATAGTTCACACATTAACTGAAGCTTCATAATACAGTTTCTTCGACAAAAATATAATCAATAAATAAGAATTTTCTGCTTATATTTCTGACTTATAAAATAATCTGTTAAATTCCTAGTAAGCTATTTCCTTCTTAAGACTCAAGATCTACTCTCCGATGCTCAAGTATTTTGTGAAGAACTATATAGATTAATAGAACCAAACTGCTTATTTCAACTCTGATTAATTACTCTCTCTTTCCTAAAATGTATAAGAAGTCGAGCTACCTGGTTAATATAAAATACCATAAAATTCAAATGTCTTCAGAGATTTTGATTCTTCTACCCATTCGACTGTACTTTCTATCAACAAATCACTTATAATTGGGTTAAGTAATAGAAAGATCTAAAAGTAGATTGTCATCAATGCCTCTAACAATAAACAGTAAATTTTTATTATTTTTTATTCTAATAACAACAAAGCCTAATAAAAAAGAATTAATTTTTTACAACTTTTCTTATAAAAATTATTTTTAACAAAGTTAAAAGAATTTTAAAAGAAAATAACTTTATCTTTTTTATAAATTGCTATTAAAATATTTAACTTAAATTAAATAATTAAAGATATATTTATGAAGTGTTTGATGCTAAGTAAGATGGAGATAAATGTAACACCTTCTAATAGAACTAATTGAAAATATTTGCTATTCACTAGATGTAGGATATCATGAACATCTTGTTTAATCTCCATAAAGAAACAAATATTCGCAACATGAGCATCAAAAACCCATAAAAATTCTCTCTTATGATGAGGGAGCAAACCTAAACTTCTAAGGTTTACAAGAAAAATATGTAGATCATGTTAGTTCCAAGAGCACCTGTCTTGCTAACATTTTAAGATATATATGATTAGTTCTTATCGAAGGATTCTAAATTAGAGGAAGATAAGCTAAATATTCATTTAAATAATTTCAATTTAGAGAACTAATTGGAAGTCAATCAAAATATGAAAAATATTGTTGGTAATAGTGTATTGTATGATCACATTATCAATAAAGTGAATGACTTAAATGACTTTATCTACATAAGAAAAGAATTCACTTATAATTATAGCTCAGCTATGTTTTTCAATTATTTCATTGGATAATCTCTCAAAATTGAACATATATACTTAGATGCTTCTAAAGGAACTGTTTATACAAACACCACTAATACAGAAGTTAACTCTAATAATAAATTAATTTTAAAGAACCCTCATTCTATACGTATTTCTAGAAATATATCTAATTACATTAACGACATTGGTATCTTGGGCATAGTAGCACCAACATTTATATCCATGGCAAAAGCAGTCACTCAACCTAAGTACATAATCAATTATTTTCTTTTTTTTAAATTGATTTTTCAAATTAAAAAATAACATTTTAATTAAAAAAATAAAAAGGTATCCATTAAGAGAAGTTTGTATGCTATTCTTGAATGAATTATCTTTGGCTTTGGATTTAAAGGAAAATATTGCAAGTGACTCATTTGGTGATTAACTCAAGAAACTATATGATAAGTTACTTTGGTTATATGTAGAAGACACAGAAAGAACATGGGCTAATATGGGATAAAAACTGCAATAGGAATAGGAAAGCTAAATGTAAGTGGAGAATAGCGAATAAGAAAATCCTGTTCATAGCAAGACTAACAATGGATTTATTGATCCTATTTATCCAAGAGCTTACACTATAATAGAAACACTCGAATAAAGCTAGTAAAATAATAATAATAACCTTATTTATAAATACTGGTTCTGAGAATTTATATCCATCCATCCATCCATCCATACACATTCAAACATAAAATATAAATTAAATTTTAAAACTTAAAATTAATAAAAAAAAATGTGATAAATTGAAATTTAAGTTGTTTGTTTAGATAAATTAAAAGCATTAAATATTTTCTAAACAGTTTTCAGTCTATCAATCTATCTACTTCCTAGCTAGTTAGTTAGTTATTCGATCATTCAAGAAAGCAAAAGTAATCTCAAAATAAATTATTAAGATATAATTTTAAATAATAATATTAATAATATATACATTTAAACTAATCAAACATATCATTAAATCTTATATATTCTCTTGTATTTATAGTTCTTATAATTGTTAATTTAAATAAAATCAATGTGTTCTTTCATTAGCAAAACTCCTTCTAAAATTATTATTAGTGATAAAGACATTAATTAACACAGATTATTAACTAACCATAATAGATCATAAAAATATTTTTAGATTTACTTTAAAAAAGACTATTTAATTAATTAATATATTTCAATTAAAGTCTTATATTAAATTTATTCTATCATTAACAAACTAAAAAATTTTAAAACTAAAATAATATTTTCAGAATATTTATTTTCAAATAAAAATACAATAAAAATTTTCTAATATAACCACCTTCCTGATCAAAAATAATAATCAAATTAAAAAGGTGTTAACATTATCAATATTTATTATGAATCCTTTTTTTATAAATTAAAAAAAAAAAACCCACCAAAAAAAAGAGAATGCTAATATTATTATTTAAAGTGGCTACCAACTGGGTTTGATTGTTTTGTTATTTAATTAGTAGAAAAAAAAGATATTTATTTTCAAATTAGTACAATGGTAATTTACATTTGAACATATTTTTATATAAAAAATCATAAGTTAAACTAAAATCATTTATTTGATAATTATAATTAATTATTACATAAAATATTTTTAATTTGTATAAAGAAAATTAAGGATATATTAATTATTTGATTTTATTTATTTCAATAGTTAAATTAAATTTACAAACATTAAAAAAAAAATAATTAAAAAAACTTTTATTTTATAAAAACAACAAAATATTCTTTGATTTATGTCTTTTTATTGTTTTCAATATTAAAACTGATTGAATATTAACATTACTGATTCAACTTACTTTCCTAAAATAAAAAATATAGTTCAGGCTTTTTTTTTAATGCAAATAATTATAACAATTTAAATAAATCAAATAAGTTAAATTATGAAGATATTAATCAAAAGGTAAGTAAAGTAAGTAAATGAGTAAACCATTTAATAAATAAATAAATCATTTATTATGTTTTAATATATATGTGTATGATAAATTTTATAGGTTTGAATAATTGTAATAAAAATAATTAATTAATGAAATTTTAAATTTATATTATTGTGTTTATGATTAGTTATAAAACATAAATAAAAATAAAGAGTTTGTATAATTTATTAATTGTATTGATATCGTTTATTTATTGAAAATAACTAACTAGTTTTTATTGTATCATCTTTCATTTCATGTATATTAGCTTGATATATTTATTTCTACAAGCTTATTTATGATGATTTCATCTTATTAACATTATTATATTTTGATTTTTTTTGTGTATTTACTATTCTATTTATTTACTGATTATTATTTTTTTTTTCTTTATGACATTTTACTCAAAACCAGTATTTATAAGAGATGGGATTATAAACATTTAACTAATTCTCTTGAATAGTGTCAAATATAGTGTAAACGCGAGTGCAAATTTCATTTTTAGAGAAATTATTTGTTTAGTACTCTTAGCTGTAGATCCATAAGATTTTCTAAATTATTTGATCAAATATTATTTACTTATCTCCTGGAATATTATTTAAAGATAACAAGTCCTCTATGACTGATTACATAGCAGGAATGAATGGGAACCTTTTAATATTAAATTATGAGTTATTTATTATATTAAATAAACTAAAAGTAAATAAATAAAAAAAAAAATAAATAATAAATTTTTACTCTTTGGTTGTAATTGCTTTAGCCATCGCTATAAAAGATGAGCACATAATACCTGAAATACCTATTTATCCTATGAATTTAGCAATAGAATTAGAAATACGAATGGAGTGATGATTCTTGTATATGACCTAATTGCCCTTATTTTATATATTTCTAATCTCCAGATTTTTAGTGTCTATAAAGACTTCTCCTGTATTGTAATCAAAGTAGATATCTTATAGACTTACGCTTTCTCCTAGTATGTAATTGCAGAAAGAAGCAGCTGCATAATTGTATGAAAATTCTTGGCGGAAATCTATATATTCTTAATAGGTATTGCATTTTGATAGAATGAACTGACAAAGGGCATTTCCTTTAACTAAATCCTTCATGCTTTTATTAATATCATTTGTGTTTGTGAAGTTAAATATATCCAAGTGTGTGTTAAAATTATCAATGTATTTGCTATCACTTTTAGAGCAATATTAGGTTAAATACCAATCGTGTACAGTTTACATTGAATATAAAGTTTTTGAACTTGCTTTCAAAGATAATATTTAAGACTGATTTAAACTATTCAAAGGAAGTCTCACACGCTAAGATAATTTAAGATTTCTGGTGTTTGTTTCTCTGTTTTTAAAGAACTAGCTATTTAAACATTGCTATAAAATTCCTATTTATAGCTATCTATGAGCATTTAATTCTTCAGAGCAAGGCTGATAGTACACACCGTTTTTATACACATGTTAGTAATCGTAATCAAATTCATACGCATATCTAGTTAATTTTTTACAAATAAAAACAATATTTTTGAATGTTATTTTGACTAATTAAATTTAAAACAAAATTAATTAATTAATTTATTTATTTATAGATAAACTTTTCCTCATTTTTTTGTTTATTTTTTAATTAAAAGCTTATTAGAATGAATTGTTTGTTAGTTTTACATTTTTTTAATAAGTTTTATATGGCTTTTTTTTTGAATGGGTTATTTATAATCAGAATATTTTAAAAATAATTTTATGTGTGAATTTAAATATGAACAAAAATTTTGAATTCAAATTAATTAATTACTGTTTGCAGTTGGTTGCATTTATGAATATCCTTTTAACAAATTTGCGGTAAGAAGGATAAAGCTCTACTTCTTTATTCAAAGAAGACATAAATGTGTGACTTTTAGGAGCAAACTCTCTAAAAATTCGGGGATTATTAATTACGTACTAGCCAGGAATCTCAATATCTTATGAGTCTAACTAAAATTGCAGAAGGCTTTTAACAGAATATTCTAGATTAAATAAATTCTTATTTTTATTATAAAATTATATTATTCCTGCGTAAAGCTTAGTGCGTATAAAATCTATAACTTTGCTTGGAGGAGATTCAGAATTAATGAATTAATAAACACTTTAAATTTTAACAAATTCAGGAATAATTTTATGTAAGTTTTGAGTTGAGCTCTCTAATTAATAAATTAACTATTTTTCAAGCATATCTTTATAAACTTCTAAGCTAGGAAGATTTTAAATTAGCTCTAAAATTTAATCCAACTCTTAGTATCTCATTTCTAAAGTAAGGAATAGCTTTTTTGGATCTTCTGTCAATGGGCTATTTAGAGTCTTGAAAAGAGATTCTATTTTTCTGCCTGAGATGCTTTCTCTCATTTGCAAATAAATTTATTATAATGCATTCTTTTCTTATTTTTATGGTAAATATGATCTTAGTGTTAAAAATAAATATTAATCATATTGTCTAAGAAGTTCTAATAGTTTTATATATGCCTATGCAATATTATTACTTTCCTTTTACTCTTTATATTTTTAATACATATATAAAATCTTTGGCAACCATAAAATTAATTAATTAGACAAACTCCTAGCATCTTAAATTTAGGCTATCTAATCGAAGTTTGTACCAATAAATTCAGGTTAACAAAACAAAACAAAATACATTCTTGAGTAGTAAGGTTTATATTTTAAAGCTTCTCCCATTAAACTTATTATCATTTTATTGAAGTAATCTGTGTGATTTTTCTCAGATTTCAAAATACTAAAGCAAATCTCAAGGTAAGTATAGCATATCTTTTGAAGATTGTAGGGTCTATTGAGAAGCGATTTTATATTTTGAATTGTTTCAAAGTAATTTTCTATGTTTTTTTTTTTAAAAAATGTTTATCTAATTTAGAAATTTCAAATTAAAAAAAATAGAATGGAAGCAAGGAGAAATGCTAAAATCTTTCATTTATTTATTTATTGAATTATTTATCAATAAATTAAAAGCTTTTTGCTTAATTTATTATAAATTCTAAGAAAAATATAAAATAATATTTATTGTTAAAGTTAATTAAAATAAAATAAATAATTTTTATTCAACAAAAATTAATTATTTTAAAGGATTTAAAAAAAATTACTTTTTTTGAATAGTGTTTGAGATAGTTTTAGATTAATTTACTCCTGCAATTATTCAAAATAGGGTTTTAAATTCATTGGGTTCATTTGTTTTTAGCTTTCACTTTACATGTGTTTCTGTATAGTTTCACCGAAAATCTTCTTTATTTCTTATATGTTTTCTTCAGTAGTAGAGCTATTGTCAATTAGAGAGTTTCTCATCAGGCATTTTAGCCTTAAATAAGTATCTTCAATTGGCACAATCTCATTTCTTCTGGGAGGCAATAAATTCATATTTGTGATGCCATAATTCTTTATTTATTTATTTATTTATTTATTTATTTATTTATTTATTTATTTATTTATTAGATAAATTTAAAAATAATAATTTTTTGTTAAATAATAATTAATTTATACCTAAAGAACCTTAAAGTATTAATAGTTATTATAGTCTAAATCCATATGCTGCATCAAAAGATTTTCTTTGTAATGCTTTTGTAAATTTTGATTTGGCTACTGTTACATATTTCTATCTATTATCTATTTAATAATATCAAAGAAAGTATTTTAAATGAACTCTCTTTGATTCACAAGTATTTTCCAGTTCAAAAGTGAGTCATATTTATGTGGCA